TCAGAGGAGCAACGACCACAGGCGTGCGGGGGTTATGTCGGACAAACACCCATCGTGACACTCGCACGAGCTCAAGGGATAGAGACTTTGTCCATCCTTTAGATACTGAGAATAATGTTTACGTTAAGGTTCGGGAAACAGTAACTTTGTTGCATTTTTGTAGCAGGAAAAAAAACCCTACTCATATGTATCTGCTCACAGCAGTTTTGAAACCTCAACTCTGATGCTTGGAGAAAGCATTTTACAGCCTACCCATGATCTGTGATGTGCTGTAATTGGTTGCACATGTCTTTTTTTTTTTTTTTTCTTTCCCAGAAGTGAATTCTTTCTACAGTGTCCTATTTCAATCTCACACATGCTACAAGGGAATTTTGGGAGTTTTCAGTTTAAGAAGCTAGAGAATATAAATATCACCGCAAACACTGCATGCCAGAGTAATGTTATTTACTCCCTTCATAATCTTATGAGATAGAAAGTACTCTCTCCTCCTTTCCCCATTTTATATATGGGGAGTAAGAGTACAAAGGAGACTGAAAACTATCCAAAAGTGTACAACAAATCTGTAATTTGATCTTGGGTGTCCCGAATCTTCAGCTAGGACTCTGTTCACTGGCCCACTCTCTCATGTGTAGAAGAGTAAAGTGTAGCTGGCATGAGTATCTGAGCATGAACATCAGGAACATGCAAAACATGCACTCTGCTTTAATGCTGCATTCAGGAATATGTAACTTGCATAAGCACTCAAATACCTAGGAAGGATTGCCAGGGTAAGGAGAGTATACACAGGGAGGCAACTCCGTTTTCGGAGAGAACAACCATTGCACTGCTTAATGCATCTCCATTTCAATCAAATTAGAAAGGTTATTTCTGACTTTGATTCAGACAACTCTGCTCATGGACAAACCATATTTGGGGATGAGGACAGAGCAGTATTCATTAATTAGCTAAGCCACATTCTTCTGCAATGCCACTGGGCTTCCACTCTTGCAGATTGTTTCCATGTGTGCTGTGGCTAACTCAGATCTGATTGTCCTTTTGCTCCATCAGTTTAATACAGAAAGGGAGGCCAAAAGAGAACACAGTTTAGGAAGCTTACTCTCAGCTCACCAAAATGTAATCATAATTTCAAATACACAAAGTAGAAGATCCCACAACTTTCTGGCTCTGGCCTATTTTAGCGCATAGGGTCTGGAATGCAGATGAAATCATGAAAGTTAATTTATCTTACATTGATTTTGGCCAGCTTTTTCTGGATGGTTGATTTATCTCCAGATGTATCTGACCAGCGATGCAGCTCTTCCTTTGCAGAATGGAGCCAGTCTGTGAATTCATGCACAGCATCAAGGTATAGCAAATGATCCTTCACAATATCTTCCACTTTCCTCATTTTCTCCTATCATTCAGATGGGAAAAAAAAAAAAAAAAAAAAAAAAAAAAAAAAAGAAAGTCCATTAAAGCACATAGAATCATAAAATCACTATGGTTGGAAAGGACCTCTAGGATCATCAAGTCCAACCTTCAGCTCAATATTTCCCTATTGACTAGACCATAGCCTCAAGTGCTACATCTACTCGTTTTTTGAACACCTTCAGAGCTGGTGCCTCCACCACCTCCCTGGGCAGTCTGTTCCAGTGCCTCAACACTCTCTCAGTGAAGAAATTCTTCCTCATATCCAGTTGAAACCTTCCCTGGCACAACTTGAGGCCATTTCATCTCGTCCTGTCATCAGTAATTTGGGAGAAGAGACCAACACCAGCCTCATTACAACCTCCTTTGAGGTAGTTGTAAAGAGCAATAAGGTCTCCTTTCAGTTTCCTCTTCTCCAGGCTCAGTTCCCTCAGCCGCTCCTCATAAGGCATGTTCACCAGCCTCATTGCCCTTCTCTGGGCCTGCTCCAGCACCTCCATGTCCTTCTTATCCTGTGGTGCCCAAAACTGGACACAGTACTCAAGATGCGGTCTCACAAGTGTGAGGTACTCGGTTACGATCACCTCCCTACTCCTGATGGCCACACCGTTTCTGATCCAGGCCAGGATGCCGTTGGCCTTGGCCACCTGGGCACACTGCTGGCTCATGTTCAGCTGGCTGTCCACCAGCACCTCCAGGTCCTTTTCTGCCAGGCAAGACCACTCCTTTCGAGCCACTCCTCCCCAGTCCTGTAGCATTGGCTGGAGTTGTCGTGACCCAAGTGTAGGACCTGGCACTTGGCCTTGTTGAACCTCATAAAACTGACCTCATCCCATTGCTCCAGCTTGTCCAAATCCCTCTACAGACCCTTAAATACTGTCCTGGCTTTAAGCATGCAGTAGTATATAGTTCTGGTCTGACCTTACAGCACACATTTGTGTGCTGGTTAGAGCACAGCTTATAGCAGCAGAACACTGCTACACTGCACAAGGTTGCTTCAGGTTGGTCTGGACAGACATGTTCTGCTGGAGCAAAAGATGAAGCCTTCTGCAAAAGTGTGCAAAAATGTAGTTTAACACATCTTTTAGCATAAAATATATAATTTAATTGACATCAAAGCTGCAGCTATGCAGCTTTGGCCTGCTTTTCCCAATACACCCTAGAGAGGGTCTTGCAGATCACCCCTGAGTCCTCCCAGAGAACAGTATGATGCCAGAAACACAGCCCTTATTCAAAAGCACCAAGGCTCTATAAATGCTAAGCAGTCACAGAGAGGTCCCATACGGAGACCACAAAGGGGAACTTCTGCTGTTCAAAAGCACAAAAGGTTCTTACAGTGCTGAGTCCCATTTTAGCTATCAGATCAGAAGTGCTGGCTCTCCCCAGCCACATGCTTTGCAGCCCTGGAGGATGCTTTCTCTGACACAGAGAAGAAAAGGCTTCATGGTTCCATCTTAGCTTTTTAATATAAGCTTGAAGTGGGACCAGTTTACTTCCCTATGAAGAGGTGAAATAGTGCACAGGTCTAGATTTGCCTTTAGTCTGACCGAGTAGATTTGTTGTTATAGTCTTGTGAGCTAACATTCATGAATGTTTATCAAAACTAACCAAAAGTTTATCAAAACTAACCAAAAGAGCTAGTCAAATACTGGTACTTAAACCAGTTTCAAACTAAAACACTTATGAATGGAACTCCAGTTTTTAACTTTGAATATTTCAACATGTAACTAATGCTTTTTAAAAATAAAGTTAGATTAATAAGCTCTACTGTTCCCTCTGAAAATAATCATCATAATTTCCCAGAATGTGTCAGACCAACTAGACAATGGATAGTTATTAGCTAAACAAAGATGACTTAAAATAAATCCTCCAAGTTTTTACATCTTAATGTATTTTATGCAACAGCAGAATAAGAAAATATCCAGATGCACCAGACTCTAAACAAAACAAATAGCTCCTTAAGGAAGCAAAAGAGTTCCAGGGAAAGGCAACCATGCATCCCTGTTTACATTCTCAGACCAAAATGTAGCACCAGTAGTGGGGGAGAATGAAGGCAAAGTGCAACTTTAGTCAGTCTCTTCTGATACAAACTTTCCCATTAGCTGAGAAGGTGGAGATTGTAACTCAGCTAGTGTTACTGACACGATCTGGTTGACAGAATTTCTCATGTGTTTTTCCTTAGAAACCAAACAGAATAACTGTATAGCATGCGCAGTGCTTAGTGGCTTGAAACACCACAAGATATGGGCATATATCTTTCTGATAATATGATTTCTTTTTCTGACAATATGTTTCTGCTCAGGAAGGCATTTTATTCTTCCCTTTCCAGGTTAAAAAAAAAAAAGTGCTATAAAAGAATGATAAATAATTAGATGAAAATTAATCCAGAAGAATATCAGGAATAATGTTGTGTATATGAAGCAAGGAATGGAATATAAGCCCTTCCCTTCTCAAAATCATAACCATACCAATTTCAACTCCCAATACCCTTTTTACATTCAAATTAATTTTAGAAAACTATATCTGACTTTTTTTTGATAGACTGATCTATAACAAAAGCAAAGATTATTCAAACTCAGAGAATCCTCTAAATACTAAAAAAAAAATATTAAAATAAAACTATTAAATGATTAAAAGTTTGAAAATCAAAATTTAGCTATATATAACAGCTGTCTAAACATTTTATTTACTTGAAATGGAGATATTTATCTTACCTTAGCCACGGTTGTGATGTCACTGAACTGTGTTTTTAGTTCTTTTTGAGCTGCTTCTCCAAAGGAATCATCCTCTGTTTTTTCATAGAGTTCCACAGCCCTTTCAATGAGTTGCTGTAAATCACCCGAGTGATCCTCTATCTCAGAAACAATAGCCTGGAAGTGGTCCAGTTGAGCAAACTTCTCCTTCAGACCAATCTGTGCTTCTAAAGGCTGTTCCACTTTGTGATCCATTTTCTCCAACCACTGCTCCAGCTGGTTTTTCCTTTCCAGGTATTCATTCCACTGGTTAATGACAGACTCCAGGCAACTTACATTAAAAGAAACATACAGAGTACAGTTGAGAAATCTAAAAAGTCTGAAAAAAGGAGTCTGCTTATACCTTAATTGTTGGACTGTCTGTAGCCATGTTTTTTCCTCCATCTTGCTTTAGTTTTCCAACTTATACCAAGTTGTACCAGCTTATACCAAGTTGTACCAAGTTATACCAACTTAGATCCAAGCTATTTTAGGATTTCTGTGTTCTTTGGGCTACTGCATATAACCTGATGCAACTGGTTAAAGGAAAAAAATTCCCTTTTTCAGGTTACATGAGAAAACTATCTGTCCCAGACTAATAAAAAGTACTTTTCAGTGTCTGTTCAGCAAAGTAAAATACAGAGCATTACTGGAGCTCTTTATGATCAAAGCAATAAAATGTACAGCAGGCTATGAAATTATTTACAATTAAGAGATATTCCAGCAAGTTTTGGAGGAAAAAAAATCCATTCTATATAGTCCCATTTAGAATTTATAAGACATGCTCTCTTCTGTTATATATTGCTCCTCCTGACAGACCATCAGATTTTTCCAGGATTTGTGTTGAGGAATGCAATTCCCATTTTATCAGACTTAATGATAGACATGAGTGTGGTAAGGATTTAATTCAAAATAACAATTGTCTAGCCTAATCTAAATAGTATTTTATGACAAAAAAATGCGTGAAATTAGAGAGAAATCTGAAAAGGAGAAGATTATAATTTTCTACATAGAATTATATTACAGTTTTGGAATAAGTAAGAAAATGTCACCATTGTCAATTGGAAACTCCATTTTCCCTATATCATGGCTGCCAAAATTGACAGCTGATATTTAGCACCGAGATATACCTAGCACTCAGATTATCTACAATACAGGTATATGACATTTCTGATGCAGATATCTGAGTTTCCTGACGGAGGGAAAACTTTGTTTTCAATAGAGAACTAATGATGTAGGATCATGCAGAAGTTCATCAAGGGCCCATTCCTATCTAGTAATGACTGGGGTTATGGAACAGAGACTGCTCACAAAACCCACAGAAGAAAGCCACCAGGGAGCAGCTGCAGATAGTTGGATGACAGTATTTAAATAGCATATGCTCTTAAAATAAATTTTAAAAAGATGGAATTTGATGATGAAAAGAATGCTTTCCTTAGGAAGGAGAAATCAGATATGCAAAACTGAGGATAACGGCCTAGGCTTAGTACTGTGGAAAAGGATGTGAAGATATTAAAGGATAAAGAAGTTAACAAAATACAAATGATAGCGTTGGAAAGAAAGGAAAATCTCATTCTAGAGTAAATTAAGAACAGTATGAAGGAAATGAAAAGTATTGATACTCTATTCAGAATTAATAAGATCTCAAATACAGTAAGAAGTAGGCCCAATTTCAGTTACTATCTTTTAAGAAAAATGTAGATAAAATAGTGATAATCTGCAGTCTGCTGAAAAAGAAACAGGGATGAGAGGGGTCCAGAAACTGAGAAACATCAGTCTGTCTAGAAAGGGATGATGGAAGCCTTCAAATATATAAAATGTACAGGCAGTAAGAAAATCCTTTCCTTTCTACCAAGGTTAAGAAAAGAAGAAATCAGATTAATTTACAATAAAAATTTGGAGTGTATATTAGGATTTTTTTAAAAAAACAAGTAAACATATTGGAAGACATAATTGAGAAATTTTCCTAGAGTTTTGTAAGGAAAAGGTAGATACATATATGTTAGATGTTCTTGGCACTGCTCAAGTACAGGTTCAATAACTCAGAAAACTATTTTTTTTTCTCTGTATGAATTTGTATGATTTCTATTTGTATAGTAATATCAGTTATCATATCACATATCATTTGATTCATCTGATAGGATTAACTTATAATTTTATACAAATATGTATTTTTTCCAGACAATTTTTATTCTTTCAGATGATACAACTTTCCCCTCACATACCAATAATGAATGAATGGACTCGTATGTGCTGTTTGTAATCAAAGATGGCAGGGTCTGACCTATGTTTTCCAGAAATCTTTACCTCTGCCAGTTCACTGAGGTGCTGATGATGTCATTCCATACATCCTTCAGTGTCTGCAGCTCAGTTTGTATCACCTTTTGTCCTTCTTCACTGCTGCTTCTAAGAGCTTGTTCTCCTTTGCCAATAGCCATGTTCAGCTTAACTTCACCATCACCTTTGAGTAAGAGGATCTCCTGTGAGGCAAAAGAAGTGAAAATATCAGATACAACCTGCTAAGAGATGAAAGCTGTTATTCTTTCAACAGTAGAGTCCATCTTCTCTGAGCTCATTTATCCTTGACAGCCATGTCCAGTGTGAATTCCTACGTAACTTTTCTTCTAAGTGTCTGTCCCCTGCTATGTGCAAGTGATCCAGCAGTTTTTCCCACAGCTATTTCCCACAGTCTTTCACTACACTAGTCATGCTAAAATACTACTCACATTGCAACAGTGACTACATCAAGTGCTGCACAGGAAGATTGTACCATACAGCTAGAAGAAATCTCAAGAAACTCAAGGTGGGATCTCCTATTCTGATAACCTTCCTAGCAGATGTTTGTCTAACCTGTTCCTGAAGATCTCCTGTGAGAGATACATTACAGCCTCTCTGTGTCAATTATTCCAAGACTTCTCCTCCATTAGAAAGCTTTTTTGGACCTTGGTACACATTTTCATAGTTTCTTATTCCTTATTTAATGTAATACCTGCCATCTGTCACCATTAATCTTTGTCCTGTTCTTCCACTACCAAATTGTAGAGTTCACCTTAAATTCTAACCTTTTCATTCATAACTGTAGAAAGAATAAAGTATAAAAATATTAATTTCCCACTGATGCAGCCCATACCCAATGCGATCCTTGATGTATAATCTCTAGTTGTATCCTTTACCTGAATTTGTGTCAGTCGTCTCTCTAGTGTGGCTTTGCTACCAACAGTGCTCTCTGATGATGCCAGCTTATCTTGAACCTCTTTCACCCATGACCACATACTCTGCAATGCCTCCTCCAAAGTGAGATGCTCTTCCAGTGCAAGCTGACATGTTCTCAGCTTCTCCTTGACAGTTTTGACCATGTTTTGATAACTGGTGAGATGTTGAGAAGCCAGGTGCACTTCCCTCCCTGTACCATGGCCTTCTTCATCTAAGGTCTGTGCCATTTGGGACAGCTTATCAAAAGATTCCCTGGAAGAAAATATTGAGACTGAAAATCAGTTTTGGAAAGCGTATGATATTGTTATAGCAACTATCAGGAGTTATGAAGGTTGCTGACATCACCACCTAGTCTGTGTTTCTGTGATACTCCATCAGTGATAGAGTTCATAGTTATCAGAAAAATCAACTGGGAGAGACTGAAAGAAAATATACTCAGTGTCTATTAGTAACTTTACTTGTCTATAATGGCATTTCTTGCAGATTTTGGTGCTCGAAATGATCGCACCGAAACCTTTGTATTGCACTTTTAAAAGAAAAGCAAACTTAATTTTCCTTTTGGCTGTCAGACTTTCTGGTTCTATATGAACTGTTAACTTTTTTGTACCTGTCAAAGCTTATGAGAAGTTCAATGTCTTTAACAGGTAGGAAGGCATGATGGAAATGTTGGGCCATTTGTCCAGGATTAGACATTGACTCTGGGGTTCAGTACAGGGGTCAGAAAAAGGGATTAAAAGTAAGGTTTTATACAGTCTCGGTTAATCTCAATATACGGGATCACCTTTCCTGATATCTTGTGACTACAGGGAATTTGCATCAGACCAAAATGTCTTGCATCAGTCTCAAAGGGATGGGTAGTAACTGTTTCCTTTTAGCATGTGAATCTTGAACAACTGACTATTCTCTCTGTTCTATCTTTGCAAACCTAATAATACAAAAAAAAGAATTTGAAAAACCACTGTACGAAAAAAGGCAATTACTTCATCATCTGACTGAAGTTGGCTAAGTCTGAACTTAGAAAGGTTTCACAGGCAATGTGGATGTTATTTGAGTTCTTTATTAAAGTCAGATCTATGAAAAGGGGATTCTGTTACCCGGTTGGATCTGTGTGTTGCAAAACAGAAAGAAATAAAATTTTGAAATGGTTATAATGATAGGTGTAATTTTTACTATTGCTTTTAGAAGCAATATTTGTAAGGGGTTTTTTTCTGTCTTTTGTCTTTTTTTTTTTTTTTTCCATTTCCATTAATTAATAAAGTAAACCAAACTTTTCTTAATGAGAAATGTATCAACATAAAATTTTGCACTTAGCTTTAGTTTCCAGTTTCCTTAAAGCTGGAAGTATCTAGATTCAGCCTCTTTTCACAGAGTATGTTGCAAAACCTTTCTCTCTCTTTCAGAAACAGGCTTTACCCCAACAGTATAATTTCATTTTTCTTTTAGCAGAGGAAAAAGTTAGAGTAGTTTAGGAAATGTATTTCATACTACCTTGAATTCAGTAACTCTTCCAGGAACTTTTCCACTTTCTGTATCTCCTTTTTCTTCTCAGAAATAAGCTGTTTGTTCTCTCCTATTGCTTCTGTGCTTATTCTTTCTTCCATGCTGTGTAGCCACAGGCCAAGTTTCTTGTGCTGATCTTCAAAGCTACAGAACAGAGAAACACTCCCTTAAAAATATTTCTCAGGTGAAGTTAGTAAGAAGTTAACTCAGTTCTTTCAATATCCACAAGACCAGGAAAATAAAGCCAGGTATCAATTTCACACTTCAAGAATAAGAGTTGTACACAAAAAATAAGTCCACAGTGACTACTACTCTAAAAATATTCAGCAACTCTCTAAAAATGTTCAGCAAAATCATGGGAACTACAGTGAGAAAAGACGCCTCCAAAATTTAAAGTGATAGTGCTTTTATTTATTACTAGAGTCAATAAAGGCAAACCGAAAGAAAGCTTCTTACAGTTCTTTATAATAAATTAGTCTAAGATTAAAGAATAGGTAAAAATGGGGTTTTACTCAGTATTGACACAACACCTGAAGTGTTGTGCTTTCAATTTCTCCCACAGAAGGTAACTGGAATCTTGAGTGCTCAGAACTCAGCAAAACAAGTTCTGAGCTAAACTCTGAAAATCTTTCCTTTACATGAAGGCACGCCATCTCACCTTGCTGTTTTACCCATTACTGCTACACTGATTTTGCTTTCAGTCAGCAACAGTTTTGAATCTAGTTGTACCAAAAAGTATTTTAGCTCCCAAAATTCCAGCCCTAAGTAATAATTTAAAAGTATTCCTTATTAGCTTTGTAGAATATGTCCATCTGGGTTGGGACAGGAGAGACACATGTTGTCTTAGAAGTGTACTACCTTCAAACCCCAGGGCAGAACTTGAAAATTCATCACACCTTTTCTTTCCAGTAAATTGTATTTAAATTACTGAGATCTCAACTTCTGATTTGGGATTTCATGAGCTATGCAGATCTTCTGTATATATGAACCTGACCGTCAAATCTTTAATAAAATCAATACCCTTGGAGCAAGATCTGTTGCTTTGTTCTTAACAGAGAATTAAATTTTCTCTTAAATATTTCCAAAGACTAAAGCAAACAGAACTAGAGCAACTGGAAACAACTTCTAATTGTGCTCTGTATTTCTGCAGCCCGATAATTTCATGCAGTCCATCTATGACTACTGGTATTACTCACCTTCCCAGGTGTGAGGCACAAGCTTCCAGGGCTTCCTTATCTTTCAGACACTGGTTGAGGAATTCCTGGAAGTTCTGGTTAGACTTCGCTATCTCCTCCTGAATATGGCTGACAACTGGTTTGGGTAAGCAAGCGTACAAACTTTCTCCTTCCTTGCAGGCAGCATCTAACTTGTTCTGTCCCTCACTAACAGAATCCAGCACCCTCTGTGTAACGCAAGAATACAGTTTAAATGTGCAAGATTTAATTACTGAAGATAAGATATATTTCTATTAGAAGTGGTAAGATTTCCCCAACAAGCTGAAAGCCATGTCTAGCTATGGAAAAAAAATTCAAAGTGGATAGTTCAAATAAAATTTTATTAAGTAGTGCTACAATTCACAGAGCTCAATTTTCCTACTTGGTCCCAAAGTAGTCCTTGCCTTTCTCTGGATACTTTAGTCATGTCCTGAATATATTATACATTTCAGGAATTAGGGCTGTTTGTAGCAGGTATCTGCTATTTGTGTTCTGTTCCATAAAAAATCGACACTGATTTGACATAGCAGTGTTAATCTGAAAGGTTGAATAAATAATAGTGGAATTAAAAACAGGAAAAGGAGAAAAAGAGAAAGAAGGCCAAAAAAGGAAAAAATAATACAAATCAGAAACAAGGACAGTTTAGTTGCACATAGGCCTTCCAGAAATTGAATTCTGACATCTCAGAATAGTGAACACAGTTTCCACTGTATTCCCTCTGCATTAGATATTGCTGTTTGAACCATTCTTACATTACTTTTTTGGAAACAAAGCTAAGAAATATGATACCATCTACAAATTATTTTAGAGATATGATTTGATAAATGTAGTTAAATTGCTAATTACTATTTTAAAACTTTAATATACCTGCAAATCATGTAGCTTTGTCTCTATGGCTTTGCTGTCTCCAGACCTGTCAGATGATTCTTTTACTGCAGCCTTCACACCAGAAAACCATTCATGGAATTCTTGCATAGAGCCTTATTTAATAAAAAATTACAGAGAAAATAATATATTTTTAAGAAACAGCATATCCACACTACTATACAGCTGTCTTCCACAATTCTTTTATCCTTCAGGAACAGTGTGTAAAAGCCAACAAGATGAGTATCATTTTCTTTTAATGACCTTGGGGACTGGGACTCATTAAAAAACAAAAAGCTAGATGTTTCCACTGTAAATATCCAAATTCGAACAATCACACTGGGCTCTCCTTTTTAGTCATTGGGAAAAGACAGGTGTTATCAGTATATTTTATGCCCAAATTTAATATTAAATAATAACAAGATTAATATCTTAAAATATAAGATTAAAAATTGCCTAATTCTCTCCACTGACTGTCCATGGAGCCCAGGAAATACTTCAGATGGGACTTTTACACTTTGAACATCTCCATTTAATTATGTACATCTCTTTCCAGCACATACATGAAGTGGATTTATGCAACAGAGATGAATATAGAAAGGTGGAGCTGAGCTTGTCTTTCACGCATATTACTTGTTTAAAGTTGAATTCTGTTTTTGTAAAATGCTTTGTTTCATAGCAGTAATCAAATGAACATTTGGTAACAGGACTTTTTGAAAGGCTCCATACAAAAATAAACTTGTAATTGCAAGTGACATCACTGGAAACTCTGGCAGACTACAGAATGATTCACGGCTGGGGCTAATGGCTCATATTAACAAGCCTGAGGACTCACAGAGGAAATGTTTTTCCAAGGACTCTTGCATGCTGGCCTGTGTTCTGAAACAGAGCAGATTCACAGCTTCATACTTCTTTACTAATGAAGTGACAGTGCCACCAAGAGCTTCCAGCTCTGCAGAATGGTATTTGCGACACAGACTGTTGAGGTTCTCAAGGGCCGAGTCAATGCTGCTCTGCTGAAGCTGAAGGTCTTTTTGTGTTTCCTGAAAATGAAGTTGCAACACCAAGATGATACTTGTTAAGAAACAAAAGAGGTCTCCCTTTTCCTCAAATATTCCTGCTTCTGCCACGTGCTCTTTCCTCCTATGTTCTATTGCAAGTCCTAGACACAATGAAGGGAAGAAGTACTAGACCACGTTTCCTGAATTTATAAGTGATATGAATCCTTGAAACTAAAGACCCATCACAGAATTGTGAAAAATTGTGTTTCTTCTCATGGTTTACTACTTTATTAATGAATAGACAGTCAAGGCACATTGAATAGCAATACCTATTTTCAGCAGTCTGAAGGTACCTGAAAGATGCAATATGAGACTGATATTTGGTGGGTGTTTCAAATGAAAGAGGTTTTTCATCTGATTAGAGAGGAATATTTATTTGAAAATTGTTTGAATTGGCTAGTGTAACAATAGTAGTGTGTGCTCATGCTGAAAAAATCTCCATGTAGTTTGTCATGTTACAATGTGTATAACTGTATGCAATCAAGAGAGCCCTAGGAAGTAGAAAAGAAAAAACTACTATATGTGAGAACTGAGGAGGACTTGTGAGGTAGGAGTGCATGTTAAAATTATTAAAGTCCAGCTATTTTACTATGATGAGTTACAAGTTCATCTTATATTGCAAGGGAGTCAATGGATTTCTAAACATGCCGGAGTAATGGCTCAAGAGGTCAAGGTAACAAAACTGGTTCTTGTCACAATGAAGATTATATTATTCATTATAATTTTCTAAACTGTTTGTATAAAGTTAATAAACCAGAAATTTTGTTAATTGGTGGAACTTCTTAAAGAGAGTATCCCTCTGTTATTTGCTAATATTCTAGCAGCTGTGCAGGAGACATTTGTTATCAAATGAAAATTAAGTTTAATTATTAGAAAATCTGCCATTAAAAAAAATAATAAATTACTGCATAAGAAAAAACATATCCATTTTCTTCAGCACTGACCTTCACTTTATTTAGAGATTCAGGATCCAGGTTACATGCACAGCTTAACAGTGTTTCTTCAACTTCTGTTAACCAGTCTGTCATCTGATTGATAAACTTATGTAACTGCATCTTCTGAGTACAGAAATCTTTCAGCATCTCTTTTGCTGTCTCTGACATTTCTTTGGCATGTTCCAACCTCTGCCTCAAATCTGATTCTATAAACTAAAAGCAGAGTATTACATATTAAAGCATTTAAATGAAAACCTTCTTATCGTGAATATTTATTGGAAAAAAAAGGAAGGTAGGAAAGTGACACACAATCACTTTGGGCTTTTTACATGCGTAACTAAAGATACTTACACAAATAAAAAATATCAGTCATTCAGGATTAAATCTTACATACACAGTAATCCAAAGGGATACTAACTTAGAAAAAGCCAGACTGCAAACTGTTGAAGTTATTATCCGCTTAAGAAAAATTAGAGTTGATGTTTTTTCTTTACTAAATTTCCATATATAGACAATATGATCTAAACACAACTAGCTCCATAAAAAGAAATATCAACTGGTGAAAGTGAAGAGCAATGAGGCTTAAAGTATCTCAGTGCAAGGCAGATTAAAATGGAAGCAACTACAAAAATAAATTAAAATATTGCCCATTAACCTGTTCAAAGACAGCAATATGTGAAATTATCGTAGATGTTAGCTGTGTACATACTACTAATAAAAAGTAAATTAAGTCAGTCATAACAGGGTAATATTTATAAATGAACAATTACTAAAAATTCTATTACAGACTTGTTTATGTCCTTAGGATGTGAGATGATCATACCATAGTTAATTTATTTAGCATTTGAATGTCAGCAAATTGGGGATTTGTGTTTAGTTTGCGAGGCTTTATTTTCAAATTTGCATCTATATACCAACTACAATTATTTTATTTTATGTATGAGTTATTTTTTTAATTGTATATTTAATATTAAGCAGTTGGAAACAGATGTGCATTGGTTAACTGATATTCTGTAAAATAAATTTCTCTAAGGTGCATTATAAGTGGGCAGATAATTATTAGGAAACAGAATTAAGCTTGAATTTTGTGAACCTCTCATGTGAAGGAAACCATTTAGAACATTATCACTTTCATATCATTTGCACATCTTCATACTATAGGTTCCTTGGCATACATCTTATTGGCATTTCAGGCTCATGTGTATGGTCACAGCAAAATGCAGACAAGGCTTGAGCATTATATTAAATTCCATTAAAATCTGATAAATGGTTTTGAAATAAATATCTATCGAGATATTTCCCTGCCTGTGGAAATCACAGAAGTCAGCTTATCTTTTAAAACTTCTGATATTGAAAGTGAATAACATCACATAACAATTTTCCTTTGAATCAAACATCCAAAATAGTCATACTTTGGTTTTACACCTGACCTGGAAAATAAAAAAGTAAGGGCCTAGCCAATAACAAAAGTTCAACAGTTCACTTTCAGTGTTTGTATTTTACAACTCACTTGTAATAGCTACTTCAGGGCACAAATTCCAGTCCACTAAAGAATGCTTTTGGTTTGATAAAGCAGATGAATATATTTTACAGTTTTGTAATGCTTTTAAGGAGGCAAACTGTTCATGAACTCACATATGATGCGTGGCTTAACATTGTGCAATGTAGAGAATATCTGTCTCGTGCCTGATCAGCTAGCTTATAAACTATTCTATTTTAATTTAGTAAAAAATACTTTTACAACTCCTAATGTTCAAGTACTGTATGGCATATTCTTTTCAGAAGTAAAAACCAGTTATCTAAAGAAATATGAACAGAGAATAGTTATTATAAATATAAATAATGGTGTATCAGTCACCTTCAAAGAAAAAGGCAGCACAGGAGAGGCAGAAAGTTCAGGAGGAGATTCTTTTTTGACATTTGAGCACAGTGGGTGACTACCAATATCTTTATTTTACCTGGAGATCTGCAGGAGGCTCTTGACTGTAGGTCAGTTCTTTGAGTTCTGAAATTTTGGAACTAAGCTGCTCCAACTTGAGTTCTTTATCCTTGACTTCAGACTGTAAAAGAGATGTGGTCAAAAGTTCATAAAAAACTATAAGTTTTCAGACCTTCAGAAGAAGGCTCCATCAATTGAAAAGGAAAGAAAATGTAAATATTTTAGCAACCAGAGGGAAAACACTGTTGTTCTATTATTTTTTTCTCTAAAAATCTCCCATCTCTTTTTTTTTTATTGGTGTCAGTTCAGAGATTTTTTACTTTCCATTAAAATAGCCCTGTACATTTTTAGCACTTAAAATGCACTAACAACATTAGTTTCTTAAAATTGGCTAAATAAAGATGGGAACGCCATTGTTTATTTGACTGGAAAAAATCTAGTGTGGTTGTTAGAGTCCACTTAACGGAATGTAGAGAATAATGCATGTGCTCTCTGTTTTTTATTAAAAGAAAGTGAGCTCTCAGAAAAAAATTAAACACATAAATAAATTTTAACCTCAAAAGGGAATTAAAAAATGCATAAAATATATGCACTAACTTATCTGGACCTTGTATTTGTTGTGGTCCTATAGATCCAAGTTATAAAGAAATATTCTACTTATTAAAAAATAAGAACAAAGTGAAAGAGAAAATCATAATTAGTATAATTGTAGTTCTGAAATATTAGGCAAGTTATTGATATCCTATTACTCAAACTTTATTTCCTAAAAAATTCAAACAGTTCACTCAAAGTAAGACTGGAAAAGGATTTTCAGGATGTAACATTTGTCCTGGATTGTAGAAGTTCAAGTGGTTTCAGAGGAATCCTCAGGGGGGTATTTTGTGCTAGGGAGGATATAATGTTAGATGACAGATTAAGAAAAGGAACACTGCTATGGACCATACAAAAGGTACACTGATTATTTTTGTCCATTTTTCTGAAAGGGTAGGAACCTTCTATCAGTGGCAAAGTCCTTTCCTCTTGCCTTTGCAAAAGAAAATGGAAAAAAAAATACTATGGACTATGCATTCTGTGACTGCAAATATACACACAGTACTCATGTCTTCTGCTATTCTGGCCCTCCTGTCAATCAGGTATACCTGTGGTTTGGGTACTGGTTGCTCTTACTCCAAATCAGTTATAACAGCGTATTTGGGTAGTCTGATTGCTATACTAATCAGAAAGACATTAGATAAACCTTGTCCAGAGCAAAATACCGATTTAGCAACATTTCATATTCTGTCATACCAGTGTGTGTTCACTGTGTGTCTTCTCAAGGAGCTCACTTATTTCAAGGGAAGTAGAATATGGCTCCTTCTATGGTGGATCTGCTGTATATTTTAAGCCAATAGAGGCAACCTCCTCTAGATGAATCTACTTTAGCAGCGGGGTGGATTAGATGACCTCCAGAGGTCCCTTCCAACCCCTTCCATTCTGTGAAAGAATCCTGAACACCGGCTAACATGCTAAACCAGTTTAATACCATCCATAAAAGAAAGGTATTATCTTACTGAAATTGTTAAAACCTGACATTAAAGTTTATTCTCCAGTCCTTCATATATTTTTTATTTTCTGGAGAATCTAGCTTCTTGATTAAGATTTCAGAAACTACTCACTTTTCTGCTTAATTTTGTCCAAAGTTGTCTAAAATTTCAGTTTCTAATGGAACAGAGTTCAGTCCAATGCCATGCTTTTTGAAATTTTTGTGCAAGAACATGTTGTAATGTACTGTGAGTGCCAAAATAACTACAGAGCTTAGGTTTAGTAATAGATGGGCTGTTCTGGTTTCTGTCAGAAGGAAATAGCTTCAAAAAAGGACTGGAATGCTGTTAGCTAGCCATTGGGTTAGTGGTACCACTGCATGAACAGGGGACACAGTGGCCTACAGCAGCACAGCCTTAGCTATGTGCCTGATACAATGTGAGATTTTGGTCCAGAACAATCTTATCACTGATTTATGGGTAAGCACCTGGAAGTCTTTCAGGAGTATCTCCATTCTCTGACTGTTACTCAAGTTGTTGATGCCTTCATTCAGTTGAGAAAGGCACTTATTGCACCATTCATCCATTTCATCTCCAGATTTCAGGATGTCATCCCATAGAGACACACTTATACTCAGCCGGTCAATGTTGCCTTCAATTCTTTCAGACACCTTTTAGGAGACAAGAATGCATCACTATCATTCACAAATTAATTGTAGATTTTGTTATTTTGCAGGTAATTGCAATACAAGTGCATCAGAAATAATTAGTAAGCCTAGGCAAAATAATTTTCTTAGAGTTATGTCTAAGTTCTGTATTCTAGTTTCAATTTAGTTACCATTTTTTATCATTTTAGTTATCACTTTTAGTTATCATTTAGTTATAATTTTTTTAGCATAAAAAGAGTAAAAATCATATGTGATTGTTTCTAAAAGTTTGCAGAATCTTTATTTGGGAAGAGTTTCATATTCAAATAAACATAATATTTAAAACCAGCTACATTTATCTTCCTTATGTAGTGAAGCAATAAAGCAGTATAAATATGAAAATGTAAAATATTAGCTTTTAGATTATGTTCCTCTGCTATAATGTTGCCTTTCTCAACATATTCACATCTTTTACGGTGTAGCTTAATACAATTTACTGCCTCATTTATTTCATCAAATTTACTTCATTAAAGTGATACTGGCATACATTAAGTGAGAATCTTTATACTCAGAAGTGTATGATGAGAAAATTTATACCAGTAACATTCATACATTATTACAAGACATTGTTTTAAATCTGTCAAATGGATGTTACAACTTTGTGTGTACAATGGATGCCAGATCCCTATGATTAACCCTTTCAGACCTACTTCAAAATAAACTTTACAAAACATAGTACTCTAAGAAAATACTAAAACTGTAACCTTAGCCCAAATTAAAAACCGTATTCGGTGTATAAACACGAGACTCTTACATCCAGCCATTTGTCCACTGTACTGTTCATATCTGTTTTTACCGCAGTGGAGTCACAGTTATGCACTCTTTTCAGTTCTGCTAGCAAATGTTTTCCTTTATTGCTGAAAGTATCCAGGTCTTTTTGTTTATCACTCAGATCAGTCTTGGCAGCTTCATGCTGTGGATATAAATATTTGCTTGCTTAATGAAGCCTTAAAGAAAGAAAAATCCAGTTCTCCAGGCACCCATCCCTAGCCCTGTGGTGTATATTATGCATTTAATAATTCTCATTAAGCATACCATTTAATATTTTAACTATGTCACAAAATACAGAGCAACTGACACAGTTTTCTTGTGACCATCATCAAATAGTATGATTGTTCATATAAATAAAGCACACAAGTAGGAATAATAAATCCTAAATTTTACCCAATTACCCACTATCTTTGGGACTTAAGGTAATTTTAAAAAAAAAAAAAATATTCTTTCTATTCTTCAGACTCTAATGTCTAAAATTAAACAATAAGAAACCATCGAGTTACATTTCTGGAATTGCAATAGGGTAAACCAAGGGTGTTGCAAACAAAATTTAGAATTGTAAAACCCATCGTTCTTAGGTACTCTGGAAAACAAATGCACAGGTGTATTCAGAAAGGAATTAGACCAAATCTTCAGGGCTACTAAGTTTCCAATTCTAGGCATGGGGAAATCTTTAAAACACTGTCACTCAAGAGGTGACAATGTACTGAGAAAGAATCACAGTAAGCATCTCATATTTTCTTTCTTTAACAGGTATTACAGGACAACATTAGAGATAAGTTACTTCGTTATGCTTATTTTATTATGGTAGGAGATGTGCAAAATACTTATTGTGCTCCAGCTCCTTCAAGCCTAGATGTGGCCACTGTTGTAGCAGGGAATTCTCCGCAGCCCAAGGCTCACAATAAGGAAAAAAATCATTCAGAAGTCACATGCATAAATGCATATAGTTTAGAACGAGGTTTATACAGATCTGACTGAAGAACTTTTAATGAAGAGCTCAACAGACTTCCACATGGAATTTCCCACCAAACAAATGGAAAGAATTTAACTCAAAACTGTTTTTCCTGACAGGCTGATGGATAGCAGAATTCAGAATTTTAGAAATATGATCCACTGAAATGAATGGAATGCACAGATCCAAACCCCTTATCAATGGCCAGTATTGTACCCCATGGAATAAATTGTGTTAAGGAAACAGACAGATTCAGTTTTCATTTGTTGAATTTTATCTATTAAAAAAATTGCCCAATATGGGAATACATTTAGGTATGTTGTAGAACCATAGAATGACTTAGGTTGGAAAAAACCTTTAACATCGAGTCCAACCATTAACCTAGCATAGCCAAGTCCACTAAAGAGCAGATAACTTATGCTTTCCATATAAGTTAATATTTTGCCTTTCTTGGTACTAAAATGATAAATAGCAACAATGAAATGCCCCTTAATGGATCACATCAAAACTCTGAATGGACTATATTCTGTCCTCAACAGAATCATTACAATTTCAGCCCTGAATGTCAGTGATAAGATTTGACAAGATCAAGGAACATTAAGCACATCTGAAGGGCACCTTTCAAACAGAAAAATCCATCTAAATCAAAGATCATTTAAATCTTTCAAATGAAAGTATATGCAATTACCTTTGATAAAGTTCGTCTGACATCTTCACGATCTTTCCAAATGGATTTGATCATGGAAGCACTCACAGCACTGTCTATGACTTTCATTACTGTTGACTTCAAGCTCTGATATTCCTTCATCAGATCAATAAGAATGCAGGACTGCTCCTTTCTGCAATGTCAAAAGTCTGCGTTAGCACCATTTAACATCATATTTCTGAATGAAAGAGAAGATGATGTTGATTCACTATGGGAAAACAGGATGCAGTGTAAACATGCTTTGGCCAGCCAAGCAAATATTAGTATTTAGGTTTTACAAAGCCCTGTGGGTCCATACATCACAAAACATCTCACAGAAGAGACACCATCTCATATATATACCAAACAGTAAAGCAACTGACTTGAGCAGAATATAGACTGAAACTGGAATTCAAGCTTCTCACTTCCTAAGTTTAGCATCTTACTGGAGGAAACCATACTATAATGATGCTGGCACTCACAGCTTATTTTTTTTCAACTTTTCTTATTTAACATGGAGTATTTTTTGGGGGTACAAAGAAGCAGAAGTAAAGACTAAAGCACTGACAGATAAATCTGACTATTTTGTCCTCCAGTTGTCAGATGTATACTTTTGGGTCTAAACAGTATATTCAACTTACCTCTCATTCTGCTGAGAACAGAATAACCTCCTTCTAAGAAAAGGCCTAACATTTTTTTTCCATTCCCTCACCAGAAAAGTCTATTTCTGTTCAGGCAATGGACAGAAGAAAAAATCCTATTCATTCCATTCCTGGTGTTTATACTGAAGAGAGAGAAGAAGACTAATAGATACTTTGGATATGTTTAGTTGTAGAATAGTGTTTATCAATTAAAGAAATTTGGGAAACATGACATTTCCAAGAAAGAGAGGTCATTGCTTTAGGAGCTGGCTCTTCTCTGTGCTCCAAAGATTTGTCTAGATTTAATTTCTTTCTTTACCAACGTCCACCGATATACTAAATTGTCTTATAGCACTGATACTACACTAATGAGTGTTTTGAGTCTGGTCCTTTGGGCAGACAGAAAGATCTAGGCCTAAGAATGATTTAGGAGCACTAAATATAGGGCTGTCAGTAACACATAATGAATAGAGAAGGAAAATACATGTGAAAAGGAGAGTATGTGCTAGTTGGAGTGTCAGTGAAATCTCCACGGAGATTTCTTATCTTTAAGGACAATAAACAATAATATGCAACTAAAAGCCCAGTAAGTCTATTAGTATTGTCCTGAAGACCTATCTGTGGCTTTATAAACAGCATAATTACAACTGGTACAAATATTCTGGTTTGTACTGTGTTTTATCTTCTACTCAGAATTCAACATCCAAATTCTGTTTTTTGGTTTGTTTGTTTGTTTGTTTGTTTTTTTTTAATTTGGATTAATATGGCAAGAAGATATTAAATGTAAATAACTGTGTCTCCCCCACTAAAAGAACCCTCTCCTTTCTCACTGTATCTCTAAGATCTACTTACTTCTCCTGTATAACTTTCTTGGTATCTTCCCACAGAGATTGTAAGTAATTTATCTCTTTGTCGATGTCAGGAGCAAGTGTGATGTCTTTTTGGGCTATTTGTTTTGCTTTGTCCATGAGCCACTGGAGTTCATGCTGGCAAGAATTCAATTCTTCATCTAGCTGGTTAAAGGCCCTCAATCTGCAAGTTAAAAGGCAGGTTTCATATTTACTTTTCTTCACTTTTTTTGCAAGAGAAAAGAGGAGAAAGGAAGAATGACAGTTGCTGTTAGAATTACTGTGCATAAAGTTCCATTTTTCTAATATTTCCTACAACATCTGTAGAAAATAAAGCGTTCCCTGGATTTTTTTCTGCTACAAGTGGGTTCAGAATGTGATTTTTCTGATACATATACAGCTATACATGTGCCTTCACCTCACACAATACTTTGGAAATACACTCAAATATTTAGATTAACACTTCATAATCATAGGTGTTTTCATTTCTGAAAGAGTAGATATAGTTATTTTAAATGGGATTTCTAATAACTGTTTGGAACTTGGATTCATTCAGACAAATTAAATTTCTGAGACAAAGGTTTTCTCGACTGTTCTTTCACTATAAAAGATTAGCAGGACTTGCTCATGTTCACTCTTCATTCAAACAGCTCACTTATAAAAATTTATTAAGTAGATATATGGACTCATATATGCCTGGCAAGAAAGAAGGTACCCAGACAGAAAACTCACACATGCCTCCAATGTATCATAAAAAGTCTAGAGATAACAAGGAAATGAAGAAGTGCAATATCAAGCTTTAATTCTGTTTTTACCTTTGCTGGAGGGCTTGTAGTGTTGCTTCCTTCAGGCCCTCCTTGTCAGCCTTTTCCTCAGTATCTTCAATACTCTTCAGTAGCTGTTCTTTACGTTCCATGAAAGATCTTTGCAGGACTCCCAGAGCTTCCGCCTCACTCTGTTTAGTTCCCAGCAGGTTTTGAACTGCCTCCAGTTCCAAGCACAGATTATCTACCACAGCCCTGCAGGACGTCCTCTGTTCAGAAATGCCGTGTTTTAGATGGTACCGGGCCTTAGTAAGGGAACCATCCAAACCGCTGGCAACAGATTCCAGCTTCTTAATATCTTGAATAACATCACTGAGATCCTTCTCCAGTAATTCAGATTTAGCTTTATCCATATTTCCAGTTTTCTCCACTGTCTGCCTCAGCTGGTGGAGCAGTCCTGATGCAGCACTATGGAGCTCCAGGAATACTCGCAGCTTATCCAGAGCCTCTTGTCTTTGACTAGTTATTTGACTTGCCTCCTGGAAGATCTGAAGGCAGTCTTCAGTCTTTCCCTGCAATGTCTGCTGGTCTTCTAGGCAACTGAAAGAACACAATTTATCTACATGTTCCTTCAGACTTTGCAACTGCTGTTTCTTACTTTCGACTTCCATTGAGTGGTTCTACGAGAAAGAAAGAAAATAGGCTGGGTTTTTTCTTCCAGTCAAAAGCTCAGAAAACATTTAGTACTAAACTTAAGAGCAAAATAAGTATTAATGAGGGGTTTTGGGTTTTTTTTGTAAAAACAGCTCAGTGTTACAATTTTGCTTTAAACCACTCAAATAACAGATATCTGTATGTGACTGCAAGAGTGTATTTGCTGTCAAACAAATAAATGACCTCATGCTAGTTTTAGATAAATATTTAACTGAATGCACTGTACAACTTCTCTGTGTAATATATTAATCCAAAAGTTTACCTTATTGTGAGATGCAGCTAGTTGTTGATCAGCTGTGCTTATCTCTGAAGTGGCTTGTAGTTCAGCAAGAAACTTCTTAATCCAGTCTGAAAAACTGAGCAGTAGCTCATCAAACTGTCCATGTTCAGCAACAAGAGATTGAAGGAAGTTGATCCTATAGGATATTAGATGTAAATGTGGAAGAACTTCATGTAAATTAACCACTTTCCATAATCAATCAAAACCACAGCTGACTGGACAGCATTAAAATCAATGGTGGAGGGAAAGAAGGAAATGTTAATTTGTGATACAAATGTGATGACTGCCACCTTGACTCTTAACTGGGAAATAATATAAAGCATCAGTTTCTCTCTCTCCTGTTTCCACTGTTTTAGTTGTGTCAACTGTTAAAAGTGCCTCAAACAATCAAGGTATGTTCTTCAACTTCATGGGGTAGTCCGAGCAAAGAGAATAATATTGATGGAAGCTCAACTTCAGCTTTCAGACACAGCAATTCTGTTTGCCCTATCAATTGCAGCACTGCATGTAAGGTGAAAGTTTAATTAATTTAAGCAGGGGGTGGGTAACTGCATGCTCAACTTTCACTGAAGTAAGTGAAGGCCAAGTCTGTTCAGAGGAACACAGGTGAAAGGAAGAATGTGTCCAGAGGAGTAATCAGCCCCTAGCAGATCTAAACTTCTAAACCTCAGCCGTAAAAAAGGCCCTGTCATTTAGCTTCCTATTTCCCTTAGAAATTTCTCTGCATAATTTTCAACATCAAACACTATGTAGAAGACCATGATATTGTAAAACAATCAAATTGACAACGCCCCTAGAAGATTATGTCATTATCATTATTATTTAAGCTCCTTTATGAATAGTAAAACATGTATGTTTATCACCAAAACAACTGGATTCTTCATAAATTATAACATACAGTTTCAAAAAAGGAGGCAGTGTTCCTGAGTCTAACATGAGCCAACAGCCTAACAGCTGGGCATTTGTAGTACTTATGGCAAATGAAAACTTCAAAGTGGTCTTAAAAAGATAACAGTGTGGCTTCACACATGATAAAGCATACAGCTGAAAAAATGAAAAGTAAATATTACAAATTTTGAAAGTAAATTAGGAAGTTACTTGGGAAATTGTAACTCAGGAAACACAACATTATCTTCATTCCTGCCTCACACTCCCTCAAACAGAACTTTTCTACCAAAAACTTAGGGAGAGATTATGCTAAAAAGACAACATGATAAATCTGATCCCTCATGCCATAATCTTGGGAGCTCAGTCTTCAATATGAATCTTAAACCATTTTTTCTCTAATGGTAATATAATAAAAACTTCTTTCAGAATTGGGATTCCTCATACTGTTTACTCTCATTTAACATGTAAAAAACATTATGAAGCACAAACCTTTTAGCAACAGTTTGCGGTAAAGCTTTCCACCTCTCATCCAGCTCTTCAAACTTTTCTTTTACTGTTTCCACACATTGTTTGGAAGCTGTTGAGAATAGTGACTCATTTAACTGTAACAGGCTTTCATAGACTGAAGCATGGGACTCAATATCTGCTTGCAGATCCTGGGAAAACAATGGAATGTACAGTCTTGAGATTAAATATGGCATCGTATCATGCAAAATAACAACAAAAAAAAAAAAAAATTAAAGATCAGCTGGGGTTTTCCAGTACACTGCTTTGATAAAAGTGAATGAGCACAGTCAAATCTTTGAAGGAATTAAGGTCTATTAGAACTAGCAGGTGCTCAATACCTCTCAGACAGCTAAATCTGCAACTGTAATTCAGTAAGGATTCATCAAAGATTTTTTTTTTTCTCTCTTTTAGGATAAAGTGCAACCTTTCTATACACCTCTACTATATGATGAAAGCAGCTAAAATCACAACAAAGTTTTGCAACATGTTTTATGTGCAGTAATAGAATTGTAAGGAAATATCATAAATTGGCCCAAACAAACAAATTAAATAAATAAATAAATAATAATTAAAAAAAAAAACTCCCACAAACCCCAAACCTCAATGAAATCCAACTCTTTAGTAATATTTAAAACTGAAATTATGGATGCATTGGCTTCATGGAGGGTGTAAAAAATGCTACATTTGACCAACTGCTTCATATAAATCTAAAAGCAAATAGTAACCATTTAAAAGGAAGGCATACTTTAGAATAGGCTGAAAGTCTTGTGTTTAAGGAAAAAAAATGTTTCTGATTTCACTGTGAATTTAAATCCTTTGAGCATTTTATCACCTGAGCAACTTGCTTCACGTGCAAAAGAAGGAAAGTAGCATTGTCTAACAAAGGAGAAAAGTTCCTCTGGCAAGTAGACCAACATCCTTCCTTAACAGATAATAGGTTATACTAGGGCATTGTTTTTCTTGAGCCGGCATAATATTAGCAAATAACATTCTTCTTGTCATTTTCTTGTCTTTGATAAATAACAACAGTGGATAATGTAATATTTCCCTAGGGCATTTCCAAAGCCCAGAATCAAGTGACTTGTCAGACTACAGTTGAGCAAGTCCATAGTTTAAATGACACAGAAATAAACCACGAAATGTAGGGGAACAATCTTTCAGCTGAAACATACCTGCAGTATCTGCAGTTCGCCTTCCAGTTTAACTCTGTCAGCAGAAACATACTGTTCTGAAGGCCTGGCTGTGGCTTCACACTCCTCTAACCAGGTCAGGAAGGCAGACAGCTCCTTCTCATGCCTAACAAAATCACAACTTAGAATTACCAACTCAAGTTGTCCCCTTGGTCTCAACACAATGACCACAGGAAGGTCTCTGTGTCTATTATAACAGATGTGAGAGTCTACTCACTTCTGCCACTGAACCAGAAGAGTCTCTAATAAGGTCTGTTTCTCTTTAGCAGTTTTTAACACCTTTTCATATTTCTGCTGTAATCCTGTAACCTCCTGAGCGGCTTTTTCTTTGTTGGCCACCTTTCGGGCACAGGCTGAGAGAGAGGCCAGAGTGTTGCTCAGTTTTTCCACAGTGTGACAAAGGTCCTAACGAGCATGTAAAAGAAATGTCACATATATAAACAACAGAACTAAGTAACAATGGTGGGGAAAATTCTGTACTTGTACTCAAAGTCTGAAGCAATGCTACATCTACCAGATCATGAAGTCACTGCACAGCTTAGATTTCACGCAGATCTATTCTAGATACACATCCCAAGCATATCAATCGACTACCGTATACTGGGAAAAGACTTTCCTAAGAAGAGCGTTAAAAAAAAGACAGCACCAAAAGGGTTACATTTTCTAAATGGGCAGACAACACACCATGCTCATGTAGGACAAAGTTCCAAACTCCCTAACATCTGTCTAAGAGTTGTTCTAATTTATACGTATGCAGTATACACAAAAGCTCACTCCATCATGTGAGGACTGCCAAACTTGCAGCCCATGTATTGACATGGGAGAGGCTGGGGAACAGTTACTGTGAACTTCTGTCAGTGTTAGCTAAACGTCTTTTTCATATAAATGGCATCTGAAGTTGACTAGATTTTACAGTGTTCCCAACTCTAGAGAGCTGGGAAACTTCTTCATATGAAAATGTTTGAAATGCAGTACAACGAGTTACAAAAGTACAAAATAAAATGGATTTTAGATCACTAAAGTTCCAGCTCACAGGTGTGCAATTACAACAGTAATAATGGTTATAATTATAGTAATGAAAGAAATAATATATAGGGGGAAAGATGAATTATACAGCAATAAGCTGCTGATGTTTAAACTAAATAATAAAAAAGTAAATTCACATTAAAACATTGAATCACCATTAAGTGAATCATATTAATAATTTTTAAAAGCCAATAGCAACAATGATTACATGTGCTATCTGAATAAACTCTTTCACATCCAAAAGATTTTTCCTCAACAAGTATCAAGCATTTTTGAAGCATACAGGCCAGGTCTTCCTTGCATACAGCCTTTGCAAGTAGTTATCTGTAAATTCAGAAGAAATTGCATGTGTTTTACTGCAAGAACAATATAGCTAAATTTCTTCACAATATTTTCTTAGAAAACAAGATAATGACTGTTGTGTGAAGAACACACAGCAAAGTTATAGACACAAATAAAATTGCTACACCAACTTCATCCCAGCATTTTTTTTAATTTTTTTTTTTGGTGGTGGTTTGACTACCAATCCAGTGTTTCCTTTGCTTGTATTGGACTGAACAAATGTTCAAACACTCATGGATCTCTGGCCTCACTGATAAAAATTTGTCAGTTGAAACTCTGTCCAGTCTCCACATTGTCCAAGCAAAACTATTGATGCAACTGACACAGTGAGATTTTTTTTTTAATCACTGAGCTCTCTACACCAAGACCCAAGGACGAGAAATACCTAGCCACCATGTTTCTTACCTTCTAATTTTCATAATGTTTTAGGTGCATAAAATTAAAACCAGGAAGCTGAAGTATTAATTCATACTTTTAAGCTTTCCTTTCTTTAGAGTAAGGAAAAAAACTTTCCAAGCTTGTCTAAAATAGAAGAAATATCTGGGGAAGTCTGCTTAAGCCTTCCCTGGGGTTGCCCACTCCAACAGGCAGCCCTTGCCTCCTCCTGCCTCCACCCTAGACTGTATGGCATCAGGTAACTCCTCGTCCGGTGGTTATTTGCATTCCTGTGAGGAGATCAATGTGACACTGTTTCTCAGTGGCAGAAATCACTGGCCACATGCTCACCATGCAATCCTGAAGAGTTGTATATGTTGTTGATGATGAAGAGCACGATGTGAGAGGCTCAGCTAGCTTAGCTTCAAATTCAGACACTGCCTGTTGCACCTATGAAGAAAAGGCAAACCAGAGTCTAAAACCAGCAGGAGATAGATAGATGATGCTTTAAATAACATATTTGAAATATTTAGTGCTAAGAGAATACTATATCCTGAGTTTTTGTGGTACTAGGTGACTTTTGAAGTAAAAAAGTGCTAACTGTGCTTAGCTCCTTGTGACTGGGGCAATAACAATATTTAAATTATTTTCCTTATTGCCATTATCCAGGACAATCACAGAGGTTCTGTAAAATATACCATTTTTTGAACACATATATTTTAGCATCTTACTGAACCTGCATTTTAAATCATTGAAAACACAAATTTACTTATAGGTGTCTTGCATTTACCTTACAAATCTACTCATATACTCTAGTCCATCCTACTGCAATAAATATTTCATATTCAATTTTGAAAAAATAAAGAGTAATTATACACATTGCTGCAAACAAACCATTAGATTTTGCATTTTCTACCTGTTTAAGACTTTCCTCATATTTCTGCTGTGCTGATACATTCCCCGTGATTGTTCCTTCCAGTCTCTGTGCATGATCTCTTAGCTCTTCCCAATACCTTTTGACCTGAGTCAGTTTGGCTTTAATATGTGCGCATTCTCCAGAGGTAATAAATTTGGAAAAAGACTCAGCTTCCTCTTCTAGTTCTGAGATTCCAGTTACTTTACCATCTACTTCTTTATTAATAACCTAAAATGTAAAGTAATAGTAAATACAGAAGCACAATAGGTTTTTGATTATCAGATTAATAATTTGTTTCCTTCTTTTACCTGAGATACTAATATTCTCCATTTAAAATAAAAATAAGAGGAGAGTTCATTGACCACTTGAAATAACTAGCTACAGATGCCTTTAATATGTCCTGTACAACACCTTTATTTTCTTGAAATTAGCACTGGAAAAGGTTTAAAAAGCAAACTGCCCCAAAAACAGTATCTATGAAAAGAAATTAGAAGTGGCTGAGATGCCTATTTTTGTAAGCAGACAAGGTGGTTCATATTTTAGCATCTCTTCACAGCAAATTAGTACATAATTCTCTTAAATAATAAATACAAGATAGAAAATGTGTATAACTGAAAACAATATTGTTTTCAACAATATTGAAGGAGCTGAATCCTAACAGTTAATTACTTGCATTTAAGAAGATCTTAAGCACTTAAAAATAAAACATGCTATGACTTGAAAACCAATAGAGATTGTTTTCACTTCCTAATTAAAATGTCTATGATATAAAAAAGAATAAATTAAATTAGATGATGAGATAGGGTGAGTGTGCTCTCAGGCAAAGGATTAAATAAAGAACCACATTACAGTACAAATGGGAAACCATGAAACAAGGGTGATACTGGCCTTTGGTACTATTCAGCTGTTTTCTGTGTCAATTAGCAAATGCATAAAGACAAACTAGCACTGGCTTTACATTTCATCAGCTGCATGACAGCTGCTGTCTCCCACTACTCTGCATTTGTTTTTATTGCAAATTAGAGGCAAACCTGAAAGCGACACAGAAATTTACAGTGTTTCAGATTCTGTGGCTATTTATTCAGTAAGCATCAGTGAACTTGGAAATATTTATTTTTTTTCTCACAAAAGAATTCAATTTCTGCTGATGTAGCATGTCCATGGAGCTCTTCTCAAAAGCAGTGAAAAACACTCATTGTGAGGGAACTGAAAAAGTCAAAAGAGCTCTTTGAAACTGAAATTTGGAACAGCATTCTCAGAAAAATTTTAAGAAATGCATGTATATGAAGTCAGCCAAAAACTTTCTTGAAAATCCACTCTCAAAAGCATAGAAAGTGCCAACTTTCTGCTATAATGGTGATAAAAACGTGGTATCTTTTTTGCCATTATAGAGCTCAGGAGTGGCAACATTCAGTCTAGAATTAGCAGGGTGACAGTACAGGGAAAAAAAAAATGTGGCACTGTAAGCATTTATAGTGTCTCTTTGTGCAATATATTCTGAAATAACTTGGATTATAAAATATCTTTTTTGCATGAGAATATGGTACTGAGAAAAAAATACCGTATTTGGAGCCCTGAAACTGAAATTACCTAATAATGCAGCAGATACAAATGAGGCAGCACTTTTTTACTCCCACGCTATTCTCTTAAAATCACTCAGTTACATAAAAGAAGGTGGATAATTGAGGCCTTCAAACTCTCACTGAGTCTGCCACCAATGGTAACTACTTGCGATAATTGTCACTGTGTTCCATCAGGAATTTCAGAGAAATGTGTAGGTGAAAAATCTGTCTCTGCTGAGGTCATTGGGGTGTCACCAAAAGTAGAATATTACCACTACTATGTATGATAATTACATGTAGCTGACCCCAGGTCTTTAATCTGGTCAGCCAAAGATATCAGGGAACACACTATTTTTTCCTCATTTGCCTCATGTGGCAACATTACTTACTAGTACATTGTACTAGAAACTATGAACCAATCATTCTGATTAGCATTGTGACCCAGAGTAACCCACCAGGAAACTTAATAAATTCTTCAAACTCAGGCACAAAGCAGTGCTACTGAAGACCTCCAGCTATGTCCATGCATTGGAGGCTATATTACTCATTTCACATACCACAGTTCATAAAGCTCATTTATTCACCTAAATTACAATGATGTACCCTAGGCCTTATTTGGACAATTTTCTCTGCTTTATGTCTACTCACTCAGACATTTATAAATATTACCTGCTAGCCATTTTATTTATTTTGTGATGTTTAAATGAGGAAAAATTATGGTGGAATTTTTGGAAACTTGAAATGTAGTGTAAAAACTACTGCTTATCTGCAATATAGTAAGGAACGGCCTTTCTGGGAAATTGGATTGAATGGCTCAGCAGGGCTTAAGTAGGCTCCATTTAGACAGACAGAACTGTCATACTGTCATGCAATACCAACACCATTTGATGCACTTACTTTCTGTCTAAAACAGTGGAATCCTATCCACTAACTACTGAAAAGCATGACAACATGACAATGTATGCCAGTGGAATAAGTGCACATGCACAATTTCACAAGGAAACTGTTTTTGAATTGCTGTGGCGATGAAGCAAAAATTCAAGCACTGTTTTATTCTTCAGTGATGAAACCAAGAGATTTTATTTATTTGATGTACGTAAAGTTGTAATGAAATTAAGAACATGAAAATCGGTTGATGAACTGTTTCTGCCACATGAAACAAGTGACTTATGGGACCCATTGGAAATACTTAGTGTCAACCTGGTCCATGACTGCAAGCAGCTGCACACCTGGGTGCTTTCTGAAGAATAAGTAGGTCACAGAATAAAGAAAACAGTAGTGAGCACTGCATACTGAGAAACTCTGTCCCCTTAGAAACATGCAGTTTCAGAAAAGGTACATTTTCATTTGTACAAAGATATGAATGCAATGCCTGGAGACAATATGCACCTCAGCAATAAGAAACTAAATTTCCATGTATCTACAGGAATGTACACAGAATTTAAGATGGTCTAAATGGAATAGCAATAAATGGTGTGTAAGTTTGCAAGCTACCAAAAGCAATAGTTTCTTTATTATTTCAGCATAGAAGATACATAAATCAAGTTATAACTTCAGCTTGCAAGATTAAAGTCAAGTTCTATATCCACTAGCTGATGTGTGTTTTAAAATAAAAAAGCTTTATACACCTTGTATTTATCTAGCTATTTTGTACACCAGTTGAGATTACTCAAAAAATAAGAGTATAAACTGAATAATATTTTTAGCCATACACACAAAGGCTCCATGTATGTAAACTAAACACTAAAAGGGAAGGCAGCCTGTAAGAATTTTCCTTTAGTTTATGTAAAACCTTACTACTTGGTATATTCATGTAAAAAGGATGCCATCATTACATCATGGTAGTTCTGAAATGTGTAAAATGTCTGTTCTTCCATTTGGCCTTTAGCAAAACGACAGATAAATGGGCTTTTAATGCTAAACATAACAAGAACTAATCACCTTGATTTGGCTGATCTGTATGTCCAAAGGAGATGATGAAGTTTCCAAAGTTTCCAGTTCTTTTTCTTGTTCAGCTATCCAGATGGACAGAGCTTCAAAATTACTGCCAAAATGATCCCACTTGTTTTTCACCATTTCCATGCTTTTAATACTAAAATTAACCAAATTAATTAGAAAGAATAAACATTTTAATATAATGAAGCTGCCCATATTGTTCCTAGAATAAAAATGTAACTTATTCAATCTACAGGAGTGTAATTTTAAAAACTTCTGGATATAGAGGACCAGGTTGTGCACTTAAATTCAACTTTGGTTCTCTCAGACTGTACACTCCAAGTCAAAAAATTATATTTAGCCATAGTGGGGACACTGAAAGCTGAAAGAGTACAGCTTCATTCATCAGATGTACGTCAACAACCTTATCACAGCAAGAAAAGAAGGGAAAAGCAGCATAAAGAAATATGATTTCTGATAAATCATATGGAATTATTATTATATCAGAGATCTACAAATTGAGATGAGTACACAGGCGTTAGTCATTTAGTCACTAGAACAGAATGATTAAACCCAGTGTATTGTGGAGGTACATAGATTCACCAATGCTTGACTTCTTTATTAAATTATGATTTGTTTTGTTTTGTTTTGTTTTAATTATTATTATAATGGCAATCTCCCCTTCTTATAGGAAGTTTGTGTTTTCTGAGGCAATGATTTCATATCAAGCCAAAGAATCAACAAGAGAGCCATCTACCTCAAAGTTAATAGATTCATATTCTTTGAAACATCCATTAGAGGTATGTTAAACAGAGACAAATTATGACTGATTCTTGTATATCTTGGATAGCCAAAAAAGCACTTTTTTTTTTTTTTTTTCCACAAGTAAGAATTCTAAGGTCACTCCCCTATGAGGCCTAACAGCAGTAACTTCCAGTAGACAAGTTTCCGCTCCTTACAAATCTTTGTAAAGAAACCAGTGCTAATGAAAGCCCTACACACAGCTTGCAAAACATGCATTTTCTATTTCACTGAAAACATTAATATTTCATCAGAAAAGTCTGAATATTACAAAATTCCAAAATACATTTTCCTTTCAAATATAGCCTTAAAAACCATTCCATGTTAAAAAGTTGTTTTAATTTATTTTCTTTCCTCTCATTAAAGCTAGAGGAAGCTTTAAGAAAACATGTAATTTAAAAATGTAAAAATTGGCCTTTTTATTTTTTCTTATTTATTTTCAAAATGAAAAAAGAAATTAGCAATGTCAACACTCATTTACTAATAAGAGCATATTCAAATTCAAGTTATTTGTAGTAAAATAATGTGCAAAAATATTTCACTCAAGTCCAGCCAAGAAAATATGGCAGGAAATCAGAATCAAGGGACCAAATCTGTGGTACACCAGCTGAAAATTCTTCATCTTTGTATCTGCCTTCCTTACAGCTGTAAGAAAGCTGCAGACTGTAAGGAATATAGTCCCAAACACAGTGCACAGCTATGAATGATCTCCTTGGAAAACGTATGTGCTAAGTTTGCTCTATAGCCAACTCTGGGGAGCTGCTCAAATTTTTCTTCCCTTTCCTGTTCATTGGCGTAGTATGTATCATATGTACTCGGAATACCTTTCCTTTAAATTACTTGGCCAAGACTTTTATTTATGATCCAAGCTACAACATAATCCCTATATAATGATTGTATGTTCTGTAGATTCACTATAAAAAGCTGTATATAGCACGGGACTTTTTTTTTTATTATCATCTGTCACAGTACCACAGACATTCTGTATAATCCATATATTCAACTAAAACTTATTTCATATCCACAGTGAAAGAGGATATCAATTATGGCTTTCCTTTAAAAATAGATGACATTATTAAATAGTGAATATCCACTGTTGAAAAGTTGAATTTCCTGAATTGAAAAATCACACTAGTTTTCTCTCTAATATTGGTCAAAATGATGTATAAAGTAAAGTATTCTGTAAGATACGGTAGAGTTTGATTGCAGGTCACTATGATGCTTCACATTGGAGAAATCGTTACATAAAAAAATCATAACCAATAATCGGAAATCTACATTTGCTGCACAGCTTAGTTAGTATAGTTTACAATTGTTCTTTTACATCTGGAAGAAAATGGCACAAAATTAAAGTCAGATTAGCATGACAATGGTCGGCAGGGGAAAAAACTCAACAATGTGAGTATTGCTCTTTGCTCATATTCAGATGGAGGTGGTGGTAGCTGCTTAAATTTACACAGCAAATTATTCTACACAGTAAGACAATATAGAATTGGCGCATATATCCATGATTTTTGTATCAGATCTAATAGAGGCAAAAATACTAATTTCATACACATATATAATTATATGTGTATATAGATAAAATGAGAATAGCAACAGCTGAAATTAAGTAACGAGTTCAGTAACTGAGTTACTCATGAAAAGGGATGAAATTTTTACAAATACAAAAACCTACAAATACATACAGGATTTAACAATGTTTTCTTGGAGTTTGAACTTCCGATTTTTAAACAAAATTTGGAAAATGATGCCTCTGTTTTTTTTCAGCAGCAGAATCAGCTTTTGACATTGCCCATGAAATAAAATCTGGGCATCCAGCTAAGATGAAGGCACTTCTTGACATTCATATGGAGAAAGTGGAATACTGAAAACTGAGGCAAATATGGCAAACATGCTGTCCTCATATTTGCACTGAGATTTTTGTTTCTAAAAGAGTCTAGTACATGAAGAATCAGTTTAATTATCTTTCTTCAGAAGGTTAGGGTTTGAAGATAAGTTGCAGGCAAAATGTATCTAACAGTAGTTTTATAAACTACGTATTATTAAAAATAGATTTTATTTGCACACTCTTTTGACATATTTGGTGCTACAACCTGGGTATTATGCCATGGCAAGCTGTAAATGACAGAGCTGATGAGACAACACAAAATGCTGACAAAGTATTCTGGAAATCTGATGCAATCTTATAGTGGAGAATAAATATTAGGACTTGTTAAGAACATACTCTTCTTCAAGAGTAACTTCTACTTTTTTCACTTGTTCTTGGATTGATTTTGCCTGCTGCTGAAGGGACTGCTTGTTCTTTGAACCAAGCTGTATCTCAGAAGAATTCTTCACCAGATTCTCAGCCTGCACTGCCATTGCTTCAGTCTGTTTAGAAAGTTCCTGTAAGGATGCAAGACATGTTAATACACTATAAACAGTTTCATATATTTGTACAAAAAGTGCTTTTCCCCATCGTTTTTGGTTGGAAAAAGTATCTGTGTTCATATACATTTCAGATACAATTAACACATGAAAAAAAGACATATATAGTCTGAAAGTGTAAATACATAAAAGTAATCATTGAAGAAAGTTATTTTCATGTTGCATTTAACAAATGTTCATTTGAGCACAGCAACCTGAATAAAATTTAGTAAGGGAAACTACATGTCCAGAAATTTTTAACTCAACCAATTAAAATTTATTCTATAGCTCTTCAATAAGTTTATTTGTGAATTGTGGAAGATTATATGCACTTTTATTTGATCTTCAGATCCTATGCTTTACAGAGAGGATTTTTCATTATCTAATAGTTTGTAACCTCATTTTGTTTAGAAACTACTTTCTGTCACAAACTTTAAACCCATATACCAGACAAGCATGGGACTTAGGAAAGCCAACCATTACTGTTATTTCTGTCTGGGTATATAAACTGGGATGGGATATTCTATGTTATTAAGGGCAAGTGGCATTTATGGCTTTTTTCCATGTTGTAGAAGTTTCTCTTTTTTCACCTCAGGGCTAGAACAGTGCTAGCTGGCACAGTCCACGTAACCTTGCCAAAGAGCACACTATTGATGTTGGTATGTCAGTGCTTGGCATTGTTACTAGTATAAATGATTACAGAACATAAAATGGGAAGTCCTCAAAATAATTTTTACTTCCATATGTGCACTTCAGATGCAAATTTTGAGTAATTCTTCATGATCTTTTCATAAAATAAATTTAACCTATATTAGAAGCCAGAATAACAAGCGTTTTATGTAGAAATAAAGATGTAGGCTATAACTTTCTTGGTACAGATTATTTTGATTAAAAAAAAAAAATAAACAGCTAAAAGATAAAAAGTGTGCACCTGCAGTCTTAAATTGTGGTAACTAAATACAGTAATGAATATAATTAGCACTTTATGCAGTCTCTCAACTGTATACACAATTTACACCAGCATTAACAGGAAACGATGCAAACAATAAAGGTAATGCACTCGCTACATATTAACAAACAAGACCAAAAGATATCTCAGTTCCTGCACTCCACACAGTGAATACCTTTGTCTGATCCAGTTCTGAGGAGAGGCTCTCTAAACTGCTAAAGTTTAAGATACGCTCAAGTGCAGAGCTTGCTTGATTGAGATACTTTACTACTGTTTCTTTGTCCCTTTCAAACTGCTCCCATTTATTTATTGTGGCCTGCAAAAACAAACAAACAAACAAACCCAAAACAGGAACACAACAACAAAAAGATGAAAGGGGAGAAAAAAGAATTTCATTGTAAGTTACTGAAGAAGGAGAAAGACTTGTTTCTTATAGTCTTCTGAAATGCCACCTACTCCACAGATTTTGAACCCAATAAAAGGAAAGTTTTCCCTTCAATTTTCATTGATTTATACTGTGTTTTACAAAAAAAAAAAAAAAACAACCAACCAAAAAAAACCCCACTGTCTGCTAAGGTGCCAGCAATATTTAATGAAAATTTGAACATTCTATTACAAGTCTGAAGTAATAAATGCAGATACTTCTGGTTAAGGTGAGAGGTAGTCAACAATATCTAAAAGGATTTTCAAGTTCCCTAATGAAATGGATTACAGTAAAATGGTAGAAGAAAACCTTTACTCATAGGAAACACACACATATGAATCTATTTGTTCCTTTCTGATAATGTAGAATTTTGATTAACATGCAGCATTTAATTCCCAGTCACAAGAATTAGGACAGCATAAACAAACATTTTCTTGATTCTGAAGTAATGCATAGCACACATTAAGAATTTAGGTATGGGTTTCCTTTAATGTTTAAATAATAAATTCTTACACTTTGAAGTTATTTGACCTCTATCAATCATGCTTTTCACCTTGTGTTTTATCATGGTAAATAGTTTTGATGACTTTAAACATTTGTGTGAGATACTGGACAGCTGGATTGCCATTCTACTTAGAGAAATGTAAAGGACAACTCAGGTATGGGTGCAAGAAGCTACAAATTCTAATCCCAGTTCAGTGATTAGTTAAACAGCCTGAAGCAACCAATTTCATTTGCTCTTTTCTGCCTTCCTTAAATTTAGGATGACAGCATGTATTTCACACAGTAATTGTGACAATTATATTTGCACAACATCAGGTGTAATTAGTCTTACATCCAGCCTAAGGAATATCGATTAAAGGCAAATGCCATCTTCAGTGACCACAGGGTACTGCCCATCTAAAAATTAACTAACAGAGAAATTATTTAAAATATCTATTATGACTCAATAGTTGTGACTTTTAAACACTTCAGAAAAAAAAAAAAATCCAATTTCTTTATTAATTAAGAGGTATCCAGGAGCTTCAACTAGTTTTCATGGAGACACTGATCACGAAAAACCCAATTACCATGATTCAGAGCTGAGAAAGTGAGCTCAGACGTTTTACATTTAAAAACTTGAGGTTTATACTAAGGGTTGTTGTGGGGTTTGTTTTTTTTTTTTGTTTGTTTGTTTGTTTTTTTGTTTGTTTGTTTGGTTTGGTTTGGTTTGGTTTGGGTTTTTTTTTGTTTTTTTTTTGTTTTTTTTTTAAAAAATTAAAAAGGATGAGGTCTTATTTGTACTTGCAAAAGACTAACCTGCAGTTGCTCTTCACGCTTCTCCATAGTCTGCTGCATGTTCTCCAAAGTTCCTTCCAGCTTCTGTAAATCCTCTTGCATTGTGCTGGGCAGTCCACCTTCAATCTGCAGCTGTTTAGCTTGGGAAATCTGCTGTTGCACATCTTGCCTCTTTGCACGGAGTCTCCTCGTCCTTTGCTAAAAGAACACATCCAACAGGAATGATTAGACTTTTTAGCTTCTTTGGGAAAATGGCACTTTCTGCTTTTTCAGGGCTATACAAGAGTAAAAAAGAGATAAACTGTGGCAAGTATTCTTGAGTTTCATGTAGTCCTGGAGTATATGCCCTGGGTTCCCACTTCTGTACACCTTTTGTGGCATAGAAATAGAAGAGAAAGGGGGACAGTATGGCCATTTATCCAAAGCAATATTTCAGAAAGCAAAAGGCACAACATTTGAGCAACTGCAGCAGTAACTACAGATGCACATATCTGCTCTGCACTCTTTGAAGGACAGGCTGGAGGCTCAGACTGACCAAAGCAATATATTGGCCTTCATTAGAGAGCAGTAGGGGAACGGTCACATTGCATAACTTTCTCCTTGATGCATTTTGCTTTGTAGAACTGTCAGAATCTCCTAAGACTATGTCCTCTCTCCTTTCATATCATGCCTGACCCATTGCCAGCCTAGCAAAGTAAGCTCACAGCTCTCTGCTCAGTTCTACTTCGGGTGCGTTCAAGTCTTTACAGTTTTTACCTTAACAGACTTTGTATCAAAAGAAGAGTCTGAGAACTCAAGAAGTTAACTTTTCCTATGACAGATAAGCAATGTAGAGTACTGAAAGAACAAAGATGAACCTTAACATATACAGTAGCTTCTACAAACACCAAAGAATTTAGGTAAGAGGTAGCAGTGCCTGGTCAGATATGTCTTACTGTCTGAACTTACAGAAACAGATGTTAATGTAAAACACTTATATATTGCCCAAACACTGACAATACATTATTCTTCTTAGCTTTGAGCAGAGCTCAGAGTTAATTTCAAATATTTGGCCATGCACTCCCTGAGTCTTCTTCTGTGCAACACACATGATTTATTATGACTGTAGCCTGTAGAAGTTTTGATATATTATCAGTGCATTAAAAGCTTCCTGTTCTACTCCAACAGAATGAAGGCCCATCTGTCACTGCAGTAGCTACCTGGAGGAGAAGATGAGGGTAGAAGTACCCTTCCCCTCCAACTTTTAGAGTTGGGGTTACATAAAAGCTGCTGAAATTGATAAATTTCAAAAAAAAACCAATCTGGCCCAATTTACCATGATCAAATCTGACATGCAAACTTTATAAAGGTAAAAAGAGAAAGACTACTTATTTACAGAATATGCTTACCCAAAGTTTCAAGTAAATTAAGCTTGTTTTTTTTGGAGTACTCTGCTAAAAACCATGAGAAATAAAAGAACATTGAATAAAAGTTGAAAAAAACCCTCATCATTGGGCATTAACATTTAAAAAATACCAAACACTTTTGTCATTATAAGAAATCAGAACTAGGCCATATGAGACTATTTCCTTTGTTACTCTTCCAAGTTCAAATATAAAGAGATATGTTAATGGACATAAAAAACCTTTGTAACTGAGTAACTGAGGAATTACCCTACCTGATGATGAAGTAGTAGTTGCTGAGCTTGTAATAAACTTTCCGTATCCAGGATCTTTTCAGCCTCTGCTTGGGCTTCTTTAGAGTTGCTGATTAACTCTTCAATTGCACTTTTAACTTCTTCTTTGTACTGGACACATTCTCCAACAGTACTTAAAGTATTTTCAATCTACAATTACAGATAACTTTAAATACTTCAAGTTGAAAGGCACATCTATATTTTAAGGGTCTATTTATACTTGGAATTTTATTTTTTTTTAAATGGAGTAAACTACTAAATTACCTAAATTGAAACTTTTTTTTTTTTTGTCTCCAGTATTTTTGAGACCTTTAGCTTTACATTGAAAGAGTAACTGTAGACTTAAAATGTGACCAAGGAGAGAGTCTTGTTTAGACATACCTCTGTTACATTGCTATGTGGTAAATAGCCTCTTTTTGGTGATCATTTAGAAAATACACACTGTCCCCATCCTTGCAAGCTGACCCAGATTCCCAAACACCCGCACTACCTAATTCACAAAAAAATCCTGCTGCCTTTTTGGACCTTCTAGAGCAATTCACTGGTGAATCACAAATATATTAAAATGCCTTGTTACCCTGGTTTTATGGACCACAATAAACATATGGCACAATAACCAGTCTCAGTTTGCAGAATTTTATATACATATATATATATATATATAAAGATATCTCTATTCAAGATATCAGTAAGTTCTTCCCTCTTTGCATGATTCAGGTAACTATTTAGAGCTGATTCTCAGAACAGGCTCTGTTCCTCAGACTGTTCCTGTGTGTTAAGGTTTTAACCCTAAAGTATTGTAGAACTAGTACCTCTTTCCTTTCTTCTTCCCTTTTTTTCTTTCTTTCCAGTCTATATTCACTTTAGAGGCTCATTCATATTCAAGACATTCTATTTCCTATAATATAAACATTTAGTCTTTACTGTCCAAAAAACATTGCTGAACTCTGGAAATACCCAGTATCAGTCCTTGTCTAAACAATCTCATCCATCTGATGAGCTGTAAATTTAGCTGTAAAGAGAATTTACTTTTAAGAATCAGCAATCTCTTAACTATACTATAAAGCACCATTTAGATTACAGTTTAGATTCAAACCAGGTTTAGATTCGAGCCCTTATTTTATTTTTTTACCTTCATGAACATGTGCTCCCCTTAGTTCAACTTTTAGAGGAAACAAAAAGCAAAAAGTACTTTAAATAAGTTAGCATGTTAAAATTTTGCAGTGACTTGGAAATCAGAACACTGGTTGCGACAACCTTCCAAACAGCTTTCACACCATGGAAGTTTAGGGACATTTCAATAAATACACAGAACTTATATACATTTGGAGCACCTAAAATGCCTCCATATTATGCCATGGTCATTAACAATGGAATTTGAACTCTGAACTCTTTCTCTATCCTGAACTCTTTTTTTTTTTTTTTTTAAATGGATCTGTTCCACCTTCTATGTGTAAGATATTCTAAGTTTCTCCTGATCTTTACTTTTACTGTGAAAATTGTAGAGCAGAAAGTTCTATGAGATCCCACAAAATGCAAGGGTTCAGTGGATCTCAGATAGGAGATTTTGCTCCTTATCCATTAGAAACTTCCCATGATTTCAGTAGCTCATTAACATTCAGACCTCAGAGAACAGCCACTTTTTCCTGCAAATTCAGTTCATGACAGACATCCTTAATGATCTGAAATGACCTCACAGTGTTCATTATTTCAGCATAAAAGATATATATGAAGCTTAAAGTCAAATTCTATGCCCACTAGCTAATGTACCTCATGGTTTTGCTAGTGGTCACTACAAGCTGATCTCAGAAAACTCTTTTGCCTGTAAAAATATGGAAATTTTGATTCCAGAAACATTTATTATAATGATTTCCAATCCTGCAAAGGAAAGATTTCCATTATAAAACTGTCAGTATTTTTTGCCTGCTGTTCTCAAGACGTTGTTGCCCAGGGAGTACAAATGAGTATTTTGTTGCTGAATACTTGCAGTTTAATTAAAAAAACACAGCAGGGAATGTATGCTTTTGAAGCCATGAGTGATGTCATTTCATGTGACACTGTGTCTTGTGTTCCTCATACTGTACCTCAGCCAGCAAATCTAGGAGTCCCTTGAAGTCACTGGAAAGTTTAGAAAGCTCATCCTCTGTCTTTTTGGCCTCCAAATCAGGACATACTGCAGTCAAAGTAGCAAGTCTAGATTTCAGCCAGCTGTGATTTTCTCCTTGCTTGTTAATACACTTCCTAATTTCCTATGGAAGAATGAAAATGTATTTTCTTCAAATAAAGAAAACATATTAATGAGTGGTATTCAGGGCATCAGTTCAAAGATCAGTAGCGTAAGCATACGACTTTTGTTCTTACCTTGAAACACTAGAAATGTAGCATTTGTCTGTTTGCATACCCTATCTGATTCCTTTCCAGTCAATGACTATAGTTTTGTATTTCCTCCACAGCCTTTACTCCACTGCTACTGTCCTTTAATAAGTAGTAGTGGAGTACCTTTTCCTAACAAACTAACATTTTACCTACAGATAGATAGATGGTAGATAACATGTATATTTTTCATGTATTGACCAACATTCTTAGTTATAATTTAAATCTTAAATAGACTCTCCTAAAAATGAAAATTCAAGTGGTATAAGTTTTTGTGTCTTTTTTTGTCCCTTTTAAATAACTTTTCCTCTCTTTTTGCCCAGCAATTCTTTTATGCCTCAGTACCAGTGCTGATGAGAAGCTGCCAGCAGTAAAACTGCATGAATAAATCACACTTTTTGGAGCAGAGGCACCTATTAAGCTAATAGTCTATCTGCTTTATCAAGGTTATCCTAATTATGTTTCTCTGCACACCTAGCCTCACAATCTGCTCATGACTTTCACACAAGCTCTACAGTGTATGACATTACTATTTTTGGTTCCTAGTATGTGAAACAAAAAAAGAAGTAAAGGTCAAGCTAAGTTGCAAGTGACATGATAAATTATTGTGTAAAACAAATTTAGCTGAACAACTCGATCTTCAACTATTCTTCCACTTCTGTTACCAATCACCAATGAAAAACTGAACGGTAGAATATCTTTGCCTCCCCTGTTATGCTATCATAGAAAAGAATTTTTATTATAGAAGCTTTCCCTAAATATAAGACAGTAACTTGACCCTTCAAAAACATTCAGTCCAGAAATTTTAGCTTTTCCTTGCATAGCACTTTTAACTCTGCATGCAGCAGGATGAAGGGCAACTATTTATTCTACCTGCTTCTATATTTTGGATGTTCTGAATAAACAGGCAAAAGGACCAGCTATTCTCTAAATTATTACAAGTAGGAACTTATGTTACACTTTGCTGCATGTGGAACTTTCTCTTGGGAAAGTTTTTAAGAATACCAGGAATCAATAGAGGAACTATAGTCTCTATAGTAAAACATTTGCACTACTGAATACAGTTTTGTCCAGAGTCCCAGTAGCATTGACTGTTTTATTAATCTAGTTTTATTAGAATATAAGCCAAGGGCTCACCCCCATGGATGCTTTTAATTGCTTGTATTTGGCAGTATCATTTACACTTTCTTTTATCTTCTTCAGCTCTCTTTCTGTTGACAAAATCCAGTTTGCCAATTCAGAAAATCTGAAACAAAAACATCACATAACGCAAAACAAGGAAAAAAGTTAGACAAAGATTGCCACCACCAAACGGTAACCTATTAAATTTAAGCCAAAATTATAAAATCCACAAAAAACCCCAACACTGTAATTTGGGGAATTACTACATAAAGTATAGCTAACACCACCATATCATTCTTTACATGGTACTGGTCTAGGATGACATTTAGAGGAGTGACCACACATAAGGCTCTGCAACACCCAGCTAGCAATTGAGGTGACACCTGTTCTTATAGGCCTTCCAGGTGTCTGAGTGCTCTGTTAACTTTACGTATGTGCTGTGTATCTGGGATTTGAGCTCCTTCAGGATTCGTTGGCTAGTCTCCAATGCAGCCCTCACTGGATCAGTAACTGGCAGTTTTTGGCACAGTTCTTCAATCCGTTGCAGCCTTTTCTCACACAGCTGGTAAGGTCCCTTGTCACCAAAGAACAACTGATGGGAGACAAAGCAGAAAATTGAGTAAAAATACAAACTGGTAGAAATCACAAATTTTATTTGTATATTCATTATAAACTGTACTAAGCACAAATAATTTTTTTTTTTACAGGCTCCAAGGATTGGTCTGATTTAGTTGTGCACAGAGTACTCAGTGCCTTAAGAGGTGGTCAGATCCGTTTATTATTGATATTGAAATGTATTTCTGAAAATGCCCACATGGTGGCATATAAAGCATACCATGTGTTCTTTGATCATCCTTTCATTGCCTTCTCTTGATAACACCTTGTTCTGTCGGGCTAGTTCAGCTTTGCACTCCTCCACTGTGACCAGAAACTTGCTCTTCTGTACTTCTATCTTCAAGTGGATCAAATGATATGGGGCTTCTGTCTGAAGATCCTACACACCCACAGGGACAATAAACAATTACAGATAAAGCACTACTTCCACTACATTAGTGTGAATTCACTACAAATTATCTAAAATCTGCTAATATAGAATATAAAGCACATATATGCATGAAAAGATGGGAAATGTATAAGGCACATTACAGAGATATGCTGATTCTTGGCAATGTATACCAAATATTTCCTGTATAAAATAAAACAAACAATAATAGTGAAGGTATATTCACAACAGCTTCCAGAGGTTCCCATTTGCATCATAGTGAGAAATCACCCATCCTTCACTCCATCTTTGACCTGCAACATGCTGTAGCAAGCAAAACATTCCATAGGTTATAAGCAATGTTTGTTCAGTTGTTAGAGCCTTTGGCAGAAGACACAGTTTAAATGGATAGCCTGGTCTCACAAATTTGTTTTACCGACGTTGGGAAAAAAACTGCTGATGCAAATAACATTTAGTAATTTTTCACAACAAATGTTATTAACACAGGTATCATTTTGGCTGTACATAGGGAGAGACATTAAAGTTTCGTAATTAATTTCTCATATTTCTTGACTTTTGACCACTTAACAGGGCTTTTTTTTCAAGAGCATATTTGCAGGTGTAACTTTATCTAATGTTGTAAAATACATTTTCTTCCCAATTGTACAGGAAGTCAACAAATACAACAATCCAAAAATTATTTTATTTTAATTTCTTTCAAGATATAGGTCATGCAAAAACATTCTGAAGTTCAGACTTAAAATTTCCAGAGTGTCACTCTTTCAATGTCACTAACCTTCCACTGCCTATGGAGTTTTCTCACAGCTTCCTGAAGGTTGTGTTGCTCTTGCTCTGGAAGGATGTCAGTGAGTTCATCACATGCCTTCAGGAAGGCATTTAGGACTCTTTGGTCCAACTGGTTAAAGAATTCCTGGAGTTGAGGCAGATAGTGAGAAGGTGAGAAGATGAAGCTGGTTATCGATATGTTAACCTGCCAGTATGAAGTTGCCTAACACACTCTCTAAGTTTCAAGGCTACTTCTGTTGCATTGAAGAATTGAAGTTTGAACTAAGGAAGGAATTATTTCTAGCTATCTGAAGTCCAGCAAACTAATTTATTCCCAGCCAGTACACTGAAATTGTACTTTAACAAGAGTATAAATGGCTAAATTGACCCTAATTTCTAAGGGGTCTTCTCTCTTCACCTTCTGGTTGCTTACATTCATCAATAAGAGGGGTGATCTTTGTTCTTTTTTGGTTTTCAATCATGTTAGTTTGACCTGAGCTGTACAACTTCTATATGCAAAGGAAATCCACATCAGCTTTAAGATGAAGTAGGCTTTTCACTTGTACGTCATGCACTCAAAGAATTCCATAGGGAAGGTCAGAGAATTTACTTACACTATGTCTCCTGAGAAGTTCTTCAGGATTTCCTTTTTCTTTTAAGCAACAATTGGCAATCTGTATTACTTTCTCCAGCTCTGCTCTAGACTCTTCAAATTTCTTCATCAAACGACTATTTGCTTCTATGTTTTTTCTCCAGTCACCAGCTTTCCTGACCATATTCTGAGTTATAAGCAAAGAAAATAAGCTTGCACTTTCTCACTGATTTTTTATTTGTTCTCTTTTACCACGATCTTACAAAAAAACCCCATTTGGTTGGTGTCACTCTTTCAAATACATGCTATTCACTAGTGCTTCTCCCTTTCATGCTCCCATTTTCTCAATTTTTAATACTTGTATAAAGGCTCATGCTAATGCCATCCTTCATTCAAATAAAAATGGGTAGCTGTCTAATATAGATGCCTCCAATACCTTCAGAATGCCTCTGCCATTTGGCTAGTGTTTCTTTCCTAAAGCCTGCTTTCGAATTTAAAGCACCTGATATGGCTAAAAGCTTGTCATTTCAATTTTCCTAGTAGCAGACTACCTCCTACATGACTCTACATGAAGGTAATTTGACCTGTGGATCTAACCAGTTCCATGCTACAGGTCTGACATGGAGGAAGTTTGTACAATTATAAAACACCAGTAACTTATCTGCATCACAGATAAGCAACTAGGTAAAAAGCTGCTTAAGAGAAAGACAGCAAATGTTGTGGTTTAGTTGGTACTCTGAAATCTTGTTTTGAAACCTTAGTCACAGTTCTTCATTATTCTGTTTTTTAGTCTGTCCCAGCACACTGCATTATGCAGTGGTTACAATTCCATAGGCAAGTAATACAATGTACCAGGAGAAATTAACAGTTTACCAGTTCAGCTGCAGCAAGTTAGTTCCAACTCTGCTTTATATTTTATTACCCTCACTGGTTACAAACCCCAGTGTATGGAAGTGTAATGATTTTACCCAGCGACCTAAGCAAATCTGTAGTTCTCAATTTAAATTTTAATATCTTGCTAAGCCTTTTTAAAATTTCCTGATAAAAAATTTGTGCATAATGGTAGAATCATAGGAATGTGTTCTTTACATGAGAAAATGTCTGTTTCCATATCCATAAATATTTTAACTCTGTGTATGTCACATTGTCTGTTCTCCCAAATAACCAGCAAGAGGACAAGAGGAAAATGGCTTAAGTTACACCAGGGAAGGTTTAGATTGAGTATTAGGAAGTATTTCTTTACTGATAAAGTAGTGAAGCATTACAACAGGCTGCCCAGGGAGGTGGTGGAGTCCCCGTCCCTGGAGGTCTTCAAAAATTGTGTGGACGTGGTACTTCAGGACATGGTTTAGTGGTAGTAGTAGTGTTAGGCTGATGGTTGGACTTCATAACCTTGGAGTGTTTTTCCAACCTTAATGATTCTATGATTCATGCTAGAGTAGGGCCAGAGAGGGACTGAATAGCCCCTAGGATATCCATTGGCTAATAACAACACAGAGCTCTCCCGGTAAGAGGGATTATAGCCCAAAGTACACATCTTTACATTAACAAATGCAAATACATATTTGTAACTTTCTATATTTACAGTTCACTGCATCTTCTGAGGAAATACAAAGCCTAGTTTATATTTACAAAAGTTTCCACGCTTCCATGCTTTTTGAGAAAGGGGATGTATGGGCACATCTGAACAAATAATTAGCCAAGATAACAAAATCAGAAGAAACAAAAGACAGTACAGTCCTAACAGATGGATTTCAAGTTCCTTGTTCCAAAGGAGCCTGAGATGTATGAAAGTTCTCCTTAGATCCCAGGTTCCTCCGAGGCAGGCTCACCTCTGAATAACTGCACGAAGAACATGACCGACAGTCTCCTGACCACTTATTACCTAATGCTGACAAATGTTTAGTTAATAATTTGACACCAGAGAGGAGAGCTCTCTATGACATTAGCTGCAGAGGGATGAAATGGATTTATGGTAGGACGGATCAGCTGCATATGAATAAGCTTTCAAAATTAAGTACTAACATACCTGAAAAGTAATCTGAACTTGTGTAACTTTCCTCTGAAATGTTGACTGATGGAAATGCTGTGACACTTCACTTGAAGCCACACACTGAAGGATACTCTGACTGTTTCTCTCAATCAGGGACAAATCTTTCTTGCAGTTTTCTTGATAAGCTACCAAATCCTGAAAGAAAAAAACAAAAGTTTTGCAAAATAACAGGAAGGTAGTTTTTGACAATAAGAACAAAAGGGATGAGGTCAAAGCACCACAACAGACTACATAAAAAGTTATATGGAATAATAGAGACCACACAACTTCATCCTTGTATGCAGAGTCCTGTACCCAAATAGAGCTCTAGCTATCTAGAAAAAAAGACATGGACACATCTAAATTTTTTCATAATTTTAGAGAATGCACATCAATACATTATTCTGTGATTAAATCTAAATGGATGTCTCTATTTATTTTATAATTGTAAATAAGCAGCAGAGAATACAAAAAACATAAGAATAAAAACTTGCAGTAGCAGGCTGAGTTGTTAACCTTTCTTGTCTTTCAACAAATTGACCTTCCATATCAGCTATTGAATTCACATTTCATTACAAATGGCATTAAGTAATGAGAATTATACAGGCTGAAAATAAGGTTTAAAAAATCCTGTAGTGATGGAACTGTTCTGTTTTTGAAGAAGAACTTTATTCCTCAGCACCAATCTGTTTACTCTCTGATCAGCAGAAACTGGCATCCTCCGTATGACTGAGGAGACACTGGCTTCTGGGTTGGCAAATAATTGCAGAAGAAACATGTCTTTTTATTGTGACATTCTGGATCAGGTTAACCTTCAGAAGCAGAGGAGAGAAGCACTCTTATGAGCTGCTCTTTAACCTGTAGGCTGGACACATGACAGCTGACGTTCATAAGTTCATAAACAAGAGGATTTACTTGGGAAGATAATTTTTTGCCCAAATAAAATCAAATCTTCAAGTCAGTAGAAGAGAAGATCCTTCTTGCTGAATTATTGGGCCAATCTCCAGAGTCATTATAGGCTTGAACTAATATTTTTTTCTATTTTTTTTTATTAAATATATATTTGTACATATATATATATGTACATGAAAACAAACAAAATTAAATATTTGTCTTGTTTGTTTGTTTGTTTTTTGGTTTTGTTGTGTGGGTTTTTTTTGTTTTGTTTTTGACAGGGATTCTAAATGGCTTTGAAAGACTTGAGCTTCCAATTAAAAAACCCATTAAATTATATTACCTGTCAAATTCAACTCTAATGAAATGTATATTGTAATTTAGAGGGACTATTTCTAGGCTATATACCACAGATACACAAGGATTAATTTCTACACAAGACTCTCACATTTTTTTTTTCTATTTCCAAGTGAGTTCTGACTAGCTTTGAATTCCTCCAGAATAAAACATTTATTGGTCAGGTTAATGCTCTACTACAACGCACTTTTAAGAAACCAATTCCAGACTTTTAGGAAACTTCCACACTTATCTAAGAAACCTGGGGAAGTTCCTGACCATGTTATTTCATCTGCTTAATAAAAAATCCAGTGGTTTCTGATATTTCCATCCAACTTTCACTAGATTAGAAAAAAAAAAGTCTCATATTTACTTCTTGGATTGAAACCATGGGCACTAGAGGGGAACACAATTTTCAGTCTTTTTATGTTTATGCCTTACTGGCTTTAGGATAGGCTATGTTTGTTGCCTGAATATGGAGAAACATTTGCTCAGCTTACCAACTTGCAATCCAAATTTCTAGAAAGCTAACTGTAAATACTCAGAGGCAGCAAACCTTTGTAAGATGTTTTTCAAACTTACTTGGGCTTTTTGTTTAAGAATAGTTGTAGGTTGCGCTTCAGGATCCAGGATAGAAATTATTTCATTGACTTTTTCAAGAGATTCATAAAAATGTGTGATTTGTTTCTCCAGTTCTTCCAATGGAGACAACAGACGCTGGCATTCATACAGCAGGGCACAGGAGTATTCCTTAACCTTTGGCCATTTAAAAGAAAATAATTATTAAAAGTGTTGCAAAATTCAGTAAATAGTAGTTTACTCTGCCTGTGTTTTAATACAGTTGCTACCTGCCTCTTTTAATATGGATCGATTCTGATCCTGTACTAATTCTTAAAGAGAAGAATACTAAATTTAAGGATGGTAGTCTTAAACTCTAAAAGAAGTAACATTTTCTCCACTTTGAATTCAATCTATTGTTACTATAACTATACATTTGCTCAAATGGATATATCTGAGTATTTATGTAGTGGATCTTACATATTATATATGTATTTGAACTACATTTATGAGTTCAACAGTCAACAATATATGTAGAAAAGTATTTTACAACCTTGCTAAGCTGCTCTTTGATCCTCGCCAAAGTTCCAAGCATTTCATTCCCTTCCTCTTCGGGAACTTCTTTTGTAACAAGTTGTGCTGTTCTTGTAACCACTTTGTACTGAGCTTCCATCGCAGGCAATTTCTGCTTAATATCCTAAAATAAAATTTTCAAGAAATATTTCAACAACAGCAGCCATGCATTCATGGGAGATATAAGTCTGTTCTCAAGAGATAAAAGATATCTATATTGCAATTATCAGTTGATTTCATCAAAGATTTTAATGAATACTGGGTCATATTTCAAATGTATAAACTGTACCAAAGGCTACCAGTCAACTCACCTGAACATGATTTGAAGCAACACGGAAAGAAATATCAAGTGGGGCAGTGTTCTGGAAATGTGCTTTAGAAATGTTACTCATAGAACACAATGATTTATATTAGCCATACAGAAATTTTACAAAAATGCACCACTGGCAAAAAGAAAAAAAGTAATAATGGAATTGTACAGTAAAATAATTGTATGCTCTCAGAATTAGAGAGTTACAACTTTCTCTCTTATGAAGGACAGACAAAGGAATAGAAGGAAGACACTTACTTCTAAATCTCGTACAAACATTTTGACATCAAGGAAGGACACTTCTACAGGGACTGAAAATTTCTTATTGCTTCCATCAATAAAAGTAGTCAAATGGGTAACACCATCCAAGTATTCTTTCTTCATTTTGTCCAGTTCATCTGCTCGAGCATACTAAGAAAGTGTAAAGTAAAATGAAAAACAAAATAAAACAAACCACCCCACATGAGTTATCTGGCAATTAAGTAATGACTTCAGAGAATTTGCATGTTTTCAGGGCAATTGTTTGCTGGAAAAATTGTGTTCAACAAAATACAAAATATTGGACAATAATCTAAATTAGATACTAACCATCTGCATGAGTTTCGATAGTGTTGATACTAAAGTGTGCAACATTCATACAAGAAGTCAGCCTTTTAAAAGTTTTCTATCATTTGGAAAATGCAAACTCTGGTCTATTTCTAACCTAGAATCAACATACTGATTAATTTCTCATTACCTACAGTATCAATTTTGAAAATTCAGAAAAGAGAATAGAACATGAAACCCTAGAAAAGCTGAAGGATAAGGGAAATTCCAATAAAAGAACTTCTGGCTAGAGGAAGGTGAATCATAGGTCTTAGAAAGTGGAAAGAGTTATATGACAGTAATGGCAAAAAGCCAGAGAGAAAAACAATATAGCCAACATGTAATATAAGCTGCATAAGTAGGGGAAGAGACATTTACATCCTGAACATTACTTTTTCCACAGTGAATCACCCTAAATATCATCAGCAAATAAAGCTTGAGAACATTCTAGTCAACAGAGGGGGGAAGTTACAATAAAAAAGGAGCAATTATTTGCTTTTCCATTGAACTTCATTGCAATGGAAATAATTATGTCAATAAAGAAAACAGATTCAGCATCTTCAAATAGAAAACCACAATTTAAAATCATTGCAAGGGGAAAATATGATAAGAGATATATTGACTGTAGCAAAGATATTTTCTAATGTGTTCCAAAGGTCTGAAATACTTCTGTGTAATTTTATTTCATATCTTCCCTCTGTTTTTTAAAAAGCAAATATAGAAACAACACTTATTTTCCAATCAGTTTAATTTCTTCCATGAGATAAATTGGATTTTCTCAGTTATTATCTATGCCTCCTTGTGTACAAGACAGAATTAATGTCTGACTAATTTGGAGAAAACATTTAGCTAATTACTTGCACTCTACCTGCTTACGGTTGCAGTACAATAATTGAATGCAAATTTCATTAATGAGTAATGAAAATATGGACTTTCACCATTTTCAGTTTAGTTTTACAGAGCTTACAATAACAGTAGCTACTTAAAATCAATAATTTTCTTCAAAGAACAGTAGAGGTTATGCCTTTAATAATATTCACTGTATAAAGACAGGAGACTATAAAGAAAAAATACAGTTTATACCAGCTGAAAGAGTACAAAAATAAAAATAAAAAGCTGTATAAACAAAAGATAAACAAAAGAAAAGCCCAATAAAATTAACTGCTGGCAGGGACTAATTTCTAATTTAAATAATGAAGAATAGTTTGGCACTTCATTAAGTTGTCCTATAGTTGTGGTAGTGGGGCGAATCTGTCTTTCTTGCATGGAAATGACAAAGTAAATCTTTAAAAGCAACAACAGCAAAACCAAATACCTGCTTAACTTGCATAAACAATTCTCTCCATCTTCCATTTAGTAACAGAAGCTGCTGTTTAAGGTCTCTGGAAATAGTCTCATCACATGTTTCAATCAGAAAATTACCAGCATCATTCATGGCTGTGTGCTGTTGGATCCAATGAGGTAAGTGCCTGAAGAAATCCTGAAGAAGAAAATGAAAACATCTTTCTGGATTTTTTTCAAATAGCCTTTAGATTAAATCATTAAACTAAAACTTAAGTACCAACTAATGGCTTGCTAAAACTGAATAATTATCTGTTGAACCTCTTCATATCAATTATGCCATAATCAATTTTTAAAGTCTTTTTAATGTTTTAAAGTGAACATAACCTATGGAATTAAAAATTACCACCAGTTTACTTACAACTCACTTTACTCCAGTGACTAGCTTTAGTTAAACTAATGTAACTGCTCCTTAAGAGAAGGCTCCATAACTGAAAACACTGTTAGGGCTCATATAATTTCTGCCTTGTCATGAAACATTATGGGCTGATAGTAACCTGGGCCATGTGCAGACTGTAGAGACATTCTTCCCCTTCTGTGAACCTTATGGAGCTTTCCAGAGTCTGGCATCCCACAAGGCCTGGGAAGACTGACTCTTTATCAGTGCTTCCTCCTATCTCAGAGTAGGTGAGTAGGGAGGGGGAAGAGATGGTTGTCACTGATTTATTTTTTTTTTTTCTGTTCCAGAGAAGCAGGCTAAATGGCCCACTCATAGTGCCAAAAGCTTCTGTGTCTCTTGTTAGCAGGTTATACACTCATAAATTGGTAGAGAAGACAAAGATCAGCTCCCACTCTTCCTTCTTGTGCTTTAAGGAGATGGACAATTGTTCCTAAGGCAGGTATATCCAGGCACTGTGACTACAGCTATAACAGTAAACACAAAACAGGACTCAACCACTGTTCCACAAATGTTCACATCTTCTCTGACATGGTCTTCACTTGTTTCTGCTACCCTTCTTCCAGACAATGCACAGTTCAATGGCTGACAAATGGCAAGGGCCTCTTCCCACAGAACAAATCATCAGGCCACCTTCTTTTAGGGGAGAAAGTGTAGCCACAAGGATCTAAGCTAAGCCATGCCACTTGGTCCTTAGGACTAAGGAGAGGGCATTAAATTTATTTATGACTATCAATCTACCTTATTATTCCAACAGTGACAGTCCCAAGCAATCCTTTGCTCAGGGGTAGATGTGAAAAAGCCCTGGCCAACTGTACTGTCAGTCATTGCAAGTTTCAGAGCTAAAGTTCTGAAACTTTATACTTGTCATAACTCATCCACATGTAAAAACAGTTCTGATACATCTGAAAAGAAAATGTCAAATCAATATATATATACTGCTCAAATTTGTTGGAAAGAGAATTGAACAACATCCAGTGTTTTAAATTTCTAAATCTGAGATCAGTAGAGTACAAGTGCTCAGTACTGATATACCAGTGAATGAACATAATCACGTCAGTGAATAGTATGTGCAGTTTGAATCTTCTGCTCACAGTGGAGCACAACCCTTGCTTCATGCAAAGATTATCCTCTGTGAGAACATCCAAAAGAAATTAAATCTAGTGAATCCAGGACTGGACAGTTCTCTAATGGTTAGACTTATCAAAGGACAAGAAGGAGAAAGTACTGGGAGTAAAGTACTTGCTCCTGCATGCTTATTCTCACAAACCATTACCTTCCTCAGACCTTGCTAGGGACTCTCTCCATTTCAGAAGCCAATCTAAAGCATATGTAAAATTTAGACAAGTTTGGAAGGTACTATGAAGCACACCTCATTCTCAGTTAAAACAATACAGCTCTGTTTAAGGAAGTTCCCATATGAGATCTAGAAGCCCTTTGGATACAGCTGTTGGAGAAAGGTGGGAGAGTGCAGCTACAGCAGGGTTACAATGGGAAGTGCTTAAGAGGTACTGCAAGTAAATAAAGGAGTTGTAGAAGGAGTGGTTTGCTCATTAATACATTTACTGTTAAATTTCTAGTACTTTGCAGTAGAAAAATCCAAATGCATACTGATCTTTTTTGCAAGACCTCTGCTACAGGTTCACAATAAGATTTCTGAAAACAAAAGCCAATGAGAAAGCTAACAAGCCACTTTCTTTTGCAGAAAGAACAGTGGTACTTGCTGGTATAGAAATCATAGAGAGATAATGGAAATAAGAAGAAAGGATGACAGCATGGTAAGGGGATACTATGGTCTTTGCTTAGGCACAGAATATTGGTGGGGCTTATTAATGAAGACAAGGTTTTCAAACAAACATCAGTGAAATCTTTGTGTCATATTGCTGATATATTTGTGGTTTTACAGAACAAATATTTGGAAATGTTTCAAAAAGTTTTATGCCATATTCCAAGCACTAGTTATCATCTTCCACCAGGAATCTGTGCTGATGTCTGTATGATTATTAATTGTACCACCATGACTACTGTATGACTATTAATTGTACAAAACAATATAATATTTCTTTTGATTTTAATTACCAAATAGAAAAACCTCTGAATCAGAACTGTCCTTGGAACTACCTAAGCAAACTTAGCTGCTGTGGAGTGCTAGATACAACGTTAAGAGTAAAAGCAGCTTTTAAAATATCTATCTCTGTCTACAGGCAGATTATGTTACCTCTCAGTAATCTTTAACAGTTTTGAGCCAATGTAATTTTTAGACAAAATTATCATTTGGGGAAGAATAATGCTTTCATGTCTAAGGTTTACAACAAGGCTTTCTGAAACCTCTTATGTATCACAATAGTAAGAAGCATTTGTTTGATTTAGGTTCAAAATCAGAAGCATGTAGATATATTGTGGATACGTTCATACTTCTGCTTCTCACAGGTTTATCTTTATTTTATTCCATTATTCTACATCAATTTAAATTAACAAACTTTTACAAAAAAAAATTATACTGCTCTGTCATGTAACATGGAATGCTCACTCCTGACCTAATATTAGCCTGATAACCTATGGAAATCATGTTTTGGTGTTAAGAGATACATAGCTACTAGACTGGGATTGGGTGAAAATGTAATACCTATGAAATGCAGTATTATTAAAGTCAATCTGGGCCATTATTAAAGTTTTGAAAACATAAATAGTAGTGCTTCAGTACTCTAATATTAGGGGAAAAAAAAGAGACATCTTTGACTGCAGGTCCCCAACAGGAACTGTCTTGAAGATCTCTAAAACACCAAGGAAATGGATTAATTACTTATCCATTAAACATAACAACATGTATTAATAATGTTTTCTTGAGAAGGCAACAAACAGTGAAATCTGACATTTATATGGCAGAAAAATCACTGAAAAAAAATGTTCTTAATCTGTATACGCAGAACATGACTACCCACTTTGGCGTTAAGAGCTGTATTTGCCTGGGTGAATTGTGCAGCATTCCTCTCTCTGAGCAATACTGCTGCCATATATTCTTGTCAAAGATGCCTCTAAGCATGTTATTACAGATGATGCCTTTCCTCACTGCATGTGTGTGTATATATATATGTGTGTGTCTTTGTACATGCTATACACGCAAACATTGCAACACCTATACATGCAAACATTGCAAACATTGAAACACCTATGATGAATGTAGATAGCATGCCAGAAACAGAAAAAAATATCTCCTTCTTGTGTGAATATTTTGTAAAACAACCTAAGCAAATGCAAAAACATACCCCATGTTTCATAATACACAAAACAGTCAGATACACATGCTATTAGTGCATACCTTTTTAGAATGTTCAGGCTGATTCAGCATTTTTTCAGCATCTTCCAGCCAAGCTTGTAGACCTGCCACAGTGCTACTGTATCTGTCCCAATTAGCAATTACTTCTTCCAACATGCTTCTTACACTTCTCACCTCTACTGAGAGGTTCCTCCACTGTGCTGTTGTTTCACTCATGAATTTCATCACATTCTCAACTTCTTCCACTAAGATACAGGAAAGACAGAGATTAGTTTATTTCTGTAAATCTTAGATTTATGGTACGCTTATCCATTCTCATTGGGGAGCTATATTTTAAGGCAGCTTCTATTTCAGTGCAAAATTACAGCTGAGAAAGTAAACCTGAATTAAAATTGAAGACTAAGGAAAGTACACAAAATGAATGGTATATTCAAAACAGTCACACTGCATATTGAGTATGGTGTTCCTTTCCTAATATGTAATAAAAGAAATCAAGAGAGAAAGTTTCCTCAAGAGAGAAAGTTTCCTTGGAAAAAAAAAGCAGTAAATAATAGGGATGTATAATGTACAAACACATATGTCTGCACTGAAAAGTACTGAATGAAATTCTAATCTTCCTTCCATCAGCTTTAAAACCAAACTGCTGCTAATTTTTGCCATTTAATTTTTTGCATTTTCCTCATGGCAATAAAGGAACAAGAGTGTCTTTGCTCCAGAAGAAATAAAAAGAGAGGAGAAAAAGGACCCATACAATTCCTGAGAGTTCATAAAACTTGCAGAATATAGATAATTTTAATTAATTAATTAATTAATTATTTAGCTAAGGTGTTCTCTAATTTGCACTGCACTTTCTGAATTTATGTAAGTGAATAGCTGCCCTTTGGAAAAGAGTTTGTTATTGTAGTTTTTAAATAGCATTGAATAAATCTATTAATTTTATTCTTTGTAAGAATACCTTGCAAAAAGTATTTACTTTTGCAAAATTTGTGTCACCATCAACTTAAATTTCACAACAAAATAACATATCCATTTTCTCTCCACATCTGCTAACCAATTCAGCAGCTGCAGCAATCCTCCATGGACATTATTGTGTTATCTCCTCAGCAGAGATTAAAGTGATCTCATGTCTGTAACTATCTAGGTCAAATACTACCCTCATGCATTCTCACTGAACTCAGCAGTGTTCAGGAATTACAGGAGGCAGCTGTAGAATCAGCTATATATTTTTCTCACTTGTATCCATACTTCAGCTATCATTTGGGTTCCTCTTAAAGGTTTTCACAGTTAATGAAGAATCTTCAATAAATCAGAGTATATTTTTGCCACTACAACAACACTGTGACCAGCTCTTGGCAAGCCAGAGAGCACTTCCAGGCACCAGAACATGATCTTCCATACTGCCAGTCTGGTCTCTGGCACATTTTTGGCCCAAATCAACAACACTGAAACAATCCAGAAGTTAGTATGAAGTATGGATTTCTTTCATTAGGACATCTGAACATGACCACCCTCTTCTGGAGATTAAGAAACTGAAGAGCAAGAGGGCAGGATTATCTGCATCAGCTGTCTTCATCCTACAGAACATCTGAAATTGCTACTAGAGGCTGTAGCCTCTCTGGTGAACTGCACCTGCTGCACAGCTCTGCTGCATAGAATAAACAAATTTTAGATATTTTTAGTGGGTACTTATGCCTACACAGATTCAAACGGTGTCCCCATAATGAAAGAAACTTAGGCATTTACCTGAGCCATTTGCTTTGGCATACATTTCAGCTGCTCTTTTCAAGATCTGGTAAGTAACTTCATACTGCTCAAAGAACTTACTATTTTCAATAACAGACTGAAAAAAAAAAATTATAACAGATGAAAGATAGATATTAAGAACACAGATAATTTCCATGAAATGACAGCAGGTCAGTGATAACAACTATTAACTTTTAACTTCATTACTCCTCCATTAATTTTCCCCATCATTATAAAATAATACATAAATGTAAGCTTTTTAAATTAATTGTACAGCAAGATATCCCTTGGCAAAGACAGTTTATTTACTTTGCATATGGAAAGATTATTCAATATGTTGTTAGTCTGCTAATTGCTGACTTGCTGAAACTCACTAGTATATGACATTTTGTGCAGAAACTAAGCAATTTACTTAGAAGTTATTTAACAGAAACTGTTTTGCACTGAGATTTAAGTGGAATGATTTTAACAAAAGAGAAGATTTCGTCCATATAGGTCACCACAAAAATAAAATCCTGTTAAACTTTAAAAATTGCTCCTGTATTAAGCCTTTGCTGAAAGACAAGTTTCACTTTAAGAGATTAAAAACATTTGATTTATCCTTCAGTTTCCCTTTACCTCCTTTGCAATTAATAAAAATAAGATTAAGGAAACAGTACACAAAAAAGCTACTTTTCCAAAGTGTGAGACAGCACTTGTTCCTTCGTGAATGATGTCTTTAGCTGTGTAATGTGTTATATCATAAATAATTTACCTGGAAAGATTTTCTTTATGTCTCTTTATCATTTATGCCTCTTTATCCCTTATGGCAAATGACACTGACCTTTTTTTAATGTCCTTCAGAAATGTTATTTCCTTTAAGTGTGATATATAATTATATTTCTATATTTAGCAAGCATATTATATCTTGCATTACCATTCTTAAAAAAGGAAGAAAAAGCTCCATTTTTTACAGGGCTTTTTCTACTGCCTTCCCTTGTGCACTTACATAGAATGGTTTTGTAACTTACATTACCTCTCATGCCTCCCCAGTTACAGACTCACAAAATTAAGCCAAGTACATCTTATGTGTCTACAGAAGCTCTGAGGTGTGAAATGCTATGTGTACGAGTGTGATTTTGGTAAAACCAGGTTTCAAATGAGGTCAAATGTTCCATGTAGTTTGAAGACGAGAATTAGATTTTGTGTATTCATCAATGCACATTATATGAACATGAAAAAAAAAAAAATTAATCTGCTAGCCAGTATAAATCTAAAAATCTTCTAATTTAAAACTTTTTACAGTTGCTATGTCAAATCACCACAGTTACCTAGTACGTACTTTAGAAATGTGTTTATTACCAAGGAAACTAGAAGTCAAGGAAAATCCAAATTTCTTCTCTACTGTTAATAAAAGTACCTGGCACGTGTAATGAACTACATACTACACTATGAATTATGTGACAAACTCTGGATTTTCACTTTTGCCAAACATATACATAAAGACATTTTACCCTGAACCAAAACCTTCAACACTTCATATGAGAAAGTAAAAGACTGTATCAAACTGCTTATATAATACTGATCTCAAGAGAAATTGGAAATATTTTCAAAAAATTAAATATAGGCATTTTGCTGATTAATGGCGTCTCATGTCTGTCAAGGTTCCTTAAGAAAATAAGTAACTCTTCCTAAATCTGTATAGCATATGGTGCTAAGAAAGTGTTAATACAGCAATGCCAAACAGAATTTCATGGGTTAAAATCTGTGGATAAATGTACATAATAATACTATTATAGCTGAGATCTTGGTGCAGTATATTCTTCATGTTGATGGTGCACAATTTCTGCTGACCTTTACCTCTTATATATGAAAGACAGATGAAAAGAAGATGGGATACTGTAACAACCACCACTTCTATTTTTTAGCTACAGTACATAAATATTTTCAAGGCATGTGTTCTATCCAGGTCCTAGCTACGCGTGTTCTTAGAATGCTGACGTTGCTCAGTCTGCTTTGGCAGACAAACAAACTTACATTTTTAACTCTGACTAATATAGTCACTGATAATAAGGTACTGACTACAGTTTTCATACGCAAAACTAATTTACTGGAAGAGAAACACTTGGCTCTTGGGCCTGGAAAACTGCTGCCAGGTAAGCCAAAGCAAATAAAGTCTCTTGCCATCACTGGACACCTGGAAGGAGCCAGAAGTTAAGGCCATCAGGAATGAAACTGAGCTCTGTTTATCTTCTTGTCCCAATTTCCTCATTTTGATGTGATGCACTTTTATGAAAGATGCACAAAAGCATTTTCTTTTGCAAAATCACTATCTTAGCACTAGTGGTCTGAAGCAGAAGACTAATGGATGCAATTGCAAAATAACATACAAATTCACCACTTAATGTCCATTTTAAAGCAAAAAATAAGAAAGTGATATAAAATACTAATCCATAAGTCAAGTTATCCACTTCCTCATTATTTCATCTGTCACCTTTTAGCAGTTTTTGCAATAGTCTTAGGCTACACAAATGGGCTATCAGTCCCAGCTAATTCACATCACTCTAGCAAACTATGTTATTTTAAACAACCATCTGAATTTTGCAAAGCTTTTCTAAAACAAGGCTTAACTGTTGAATTTTATTTGTCCCTAACTGTTAGTTTAAACATAGAAACGAAAAAGTATGAACAGGTCTTCAGTTTTTACTTTGTAGAAGAGCTTTACTGAGTTTGAAGTTTGCTTCCGAAGTAATACAAACTATCAGGCTGTGGGGGCATCAGTAATTTTCTCTACACAGTGTCTTGGTTCTGAATGATTCTACAGCTGCATGAATTCTTTCCAAACTGAATTTCCCCATGCAGTTTTTCTCATATTTCCCCATAAAAGGGGAAAAAAAGTATTTAGACCTGCCCTACTTTTGAAAGAATCCCTCATGCCCTAATGTAGAAGAGCAGCAGTGGTACCATTCTACCAGCCACTTGGTGCTGCAAGTGTGGATTTAACAAGACACAGTGGCATAAGACTGAAAGGGAACCTATCAGTGAGCATTTTTAAGTCAATAGCCTCTTTTTCTTAATATGATATATGGATGACACAGACCTGCTCTGTTCTTTTTTCAGAACAGAAATAAAGTAATGGGTTTAATATACTAGTGCTGAAGAAGAGGCGAAAAAAAACATTCTTTAAGAGAATAAAATGACTCCCCTATCAATATAGTATATTCAACAAGTGCACATAAGCAGCATACCGTCTTTTTTTTTTTTTTCCCCCTTCATTTGGAAGAACTCAAAAAAATAAAATACCGTGAGGAACTGCATTTTAAAAAATCTCCACTCTCTCTAGACTTAATCTGTGTATATTCACTATAAAGTGCATCTATCCACTTGTGAAAGAAGATGAAATTAAGTTATTTGGAACTGCTATCTAAAGTTAGGAAAAATCTAGGATTTGAAAGCTCCCACATGTGCTTGGTAAACTGATGGCTGGACAGTTAGCAGCTGGGACACTGCACATCACTTTCATTCTTTTGTCTTTTCACTAAAGTTCCTCCATGAGGAAGACAGATTCACATCTGAAAAGATATTCCATAAAAATGTAGTCATAAAGTTAATTACTGAAAGTCTCATTTCTATTTCTGTTCTTATACTCATTTCCAGAAATCTTAAATATTAATATGTCAGAAATAATTATAAAAAGGAGAAAACACCAACTTACAATATAATTTTGAAGAAGTAGTTCCACTGACTCTCGCCTTCCATATTTGATAATCCATGATTTTAACTTTGATTCTGCAAGGACTAAGAGTGACAGTAGACGGTACTTCAGTTCCAGAAACTCCATCTTCAACAGATGGAGCTCAGATGAAGAGACAACAAAATTAAACCTATAAAATGAATGACACTGTAGTAAAATACGGCAATATTCATTTTTGCAGGCAAGACTGAAAGCTTTAGTAACAGTTCAGATAGTCTTCTAATCTTACACCTAATTCAGAGTCTACAAACATTTAATTATGCATGATGATCACTCTGATGACTACTTTTGAATAGCAAATTAATTACATTTCTTTTTATTCATAGAAATAATCAGTTTACATCTGTTACTAAGTTTTGCAAAGTAATTTTTCCTCTTTTTTCACATGCATCCCAGCTGTTGTTACATAACATTTCTTTCAGGGAAAAATAATAACAGGATCAAAATAAAAAAAGTATTCCCTTCCAAAACCCTAGGATTATTTTGATTCTCATCAATCTTTAAAGCACCAGGTTTTTCAGTATATTTTTATGTAGGTAGTATTTTTTTCTAGGAGGTTTTTCCTTCCAAGTTTTTCATGCTTACCACAGAGAAACATAATTATACAGTGATTTCTACATGAACAGATTAAACAGCAGACAGGTTCCTTTTCATTCACAGAGCATTTTTATTTCAGATTGAAAGCCTTACCTCTCTGCCATATCCTCTAATTGGTCAGATGGAATAGGCACTCCGTTAACAGATCTGGCTCCATGGATCTCATGGAATGCCTTTTTGTGAGCATCTATGTTTTTCAGCAGATCCTGGTTTGATTTTAAGAGAGAGAGAGAGTAAGCAGTGGGGGGAGAGGCGGCGACAGACAGAGAAAGAGGGAAGGCTCACAGTAGGCTACCTAACTAATAAGCACAATTTTAAGCCTGCACTGATGACTCAATGTGGTTAACTATTTGATCATGCTCCCACATTTGCATGCAAGGTTATGCATACCACAAAACCATTTATAGCAACATGAACATTTACATAGGGAACCCCCTTACAAGATGCCCTGCTAAAGCTACATCCAACAATTATGGAAGATTTAAAAGCATAGGATACACTGCAAAGGCTTAACAAAACAAGAACTCTTAATTGTATTAAATAATTCCTTAAATGCAGTCAGCGAATACTCTTAACATCACAGCAGCATAATCTTGCTAAAATTACTCTTCACATCTTTATAGCAGATACTAACCTTTATTAAGTACAGATTCAAATTTTCAGCAACTAATCTACTCCACTATATATAGGCAGAAGATCCATAGCTCCTTATGTAAGTACATATTCAATATTTAGTGAACTTTTCATTCCCTCAGCCTCAAAAGATTGCTCCCTCTGTATTGCACAAATGTAGAATGTGATACCCGACCTGTATTGCTGTGCTAAGAATTCTACCAGCAAAAACCTTACAGCAGAGCACATTTCAACTGTAACTAAGCAACACCGCTTCAAAAGGCTTCCTGGAAATTACACATTAAAATGAATGACTGGCAATAGTCTTTGAAGAGATGCTGTAACAATAAAACATCAAGTCCCCAGCGGCTGAGAGGACACAACAGTGGGTATTTTACTGCATACAGACAGCTGCTGGCACAATGTGCTCAGAAGCCTAATGCCAAAAGAAACCACACAAAGGTCCCCCCTTCTCACCTGAGGGAACAAAATGCAGGCTCGTATATTGATCACACATGTCGATTTGTTCCTATGTGCTGAGGAAGGGTTTCTTCCTACTCAATGCTCAGGGCTTGCACAGCAGAAATTAATGGTAATTCACTGGCTCAGATCACCAAATGGTCCCGCCATCCCCATCAGCCCACCTATGTTTTGATTGTTTTCCACTTCAGCCAACACCTTGTCAAGAGAAACACTAGGCTTTCTCACAGGCAAGTAATGCACTGATTTTACCATGGTGAAAATTCCAGTCAGGGTATCCTCTGACTAATACTCTCACATAACGGAAAGACTTGGAACAAGCATCTCAGCTAGCTGCATTTGAGACCTTGCCAGGCAAAATGGGGTGCCCCTAACATTCATTGTTAAATCAAAATAAAAGCCAGTAATTTCATTCAACATCAGCTGAAAGCCCATGAAAACTTTATAGTGGTCTAACGAAGTGAAATCCTGCTCTACAAAATGACCCTCAACAGGCACATACATTCTGCTTGATTTCTGGATCTTGGTGGCAACATCAACTAAAATAAACATAAGTGCTTGCCTGGTTCCATGAATGTTTGCCCAAATAAGCTTGAAAATAGCCATAAGCTATAAAGTTCACTATGACAGCCCATTGCCAAATGAGACAGAGATACAGAGAAAGCAATGATGTTATCTGAACAAAATCATAACAAACAAAACTTTCCCAACAACCTCCTAGGAAAGAAGGACTGATAAAATATATGCTATTGCATTTCTGGTACTATCCAATAGCACATTAGGATCCATCAATGCAAATCTGAGCAACAAACAAACTCCAGGAAGAGACAGAATTACACAGGTTTCCCTTGGAGCTTTCCCCATCCCACTCCCATGGGAAAACTCTTGTAGCACAGACTAATCTATATCAAAGCTTATTTGTTGGCATAAAAATCCCTCACCACAGCATTTCTGATGCAAATAAAACACAGTTTAGGACACTGTCTTGTGCTTCTTACAAATGTATCAAAAAGAGGTCTATAGTGTTCACATTATAAGAACAAAAAAGTGTTTGCCTTGCTTTTTTTTAAACGAAAGTCAAATCTTATGATTCTGAAACACTTGATGTTAACAAGAAAGCTAATGAAATTTAGCATTACAGGAGACTAGACCTTGAAAGAAAACAATAGCTTCCTCACATATTTTAGTATTGTTATGGTTAAAAATTATTAGCCATCACTTAAGTTAGAAAAGCTGCCAGTATTCTAATAAAAACTAATCAAAACAGCCAACAGATCTTCCAGATAAATTAGCATTATCTGTCACAGCTGTTCCATGCAACTGGACCATGAAACTTCTCAGCTTTTCATTATATGGCATTACTTTTTAATTAAAAAAAAAATCCGCCCATATTCTAAACACAACAAATAACAAAACCACAAACAAGTTTAAAAATTGTAGCAATAGAGATGAAGAAAAAACAATATGAACCAATATAGCCTTACTGCTGCCAGTTCAGCCTTTCTCTAAACCTTCTTTCTCCTTTCTCGGTCACATTTAGTTGTTCAGTTTCTTTTATCACCTCACCAGTGCTTTCTGTCTATATTTTTTGCATATATATTAGGTAAATGCACAGACAAACCTCACAGATTAGTGTCCTGGTTTGGGGTAAAACAGAGCTGTTCAATGCTCAATGATTTTAACTAGCTCTTGTAATTAATTGTCTTGTCTGAAGTTAGCAGCGTTTTCGCAAACTGCCTGGCATTTAGCAGTGATAAGACTTCATGTTTAGAGTTACTGCCAGGGATTGCAGACCAAGTCCACCACTAAGCTTGGATCTCACACAGAGCGGGGCAGAGAGCACACCCCACCTGCGGGAAGGAGCGGGCAGGATAAGTGACCCCAGGATTCACCATTGGGGTATTCCATCCCATATCCCTCATATCCAGTAAAAGCTGAAGGACCAGGAGGGGCAAGCCCTTCTGTCTCCCCTTCCATTCTTCTTTCCTTCTTCTTTGGGCTGCTCCGGCTGCAGTGGCCGGCATCCAAGGAGGACTTCGTCCATCCTGCTTTTGATCCCTAGCCGTGTGTTCCTGAACTGAGTTCCAGAATCCAGCTCCTGTACCCAGTCACCCTCTGTGGCTGAGTCCAGCCTGGCACATCCCCAGGGGCTGCTCCCCAGCTGGGGGTGATGGTGATGGATTGCCATCAGGGGGCAGCTGGGTTCAATTCTGGTCTTGTATATATTTGTGCTTATTATTTTTTATTATCATTATTATTATTGTTATTCGTGTTAAAGCTGTTTTCCTTTTCTTTTCAATCACTAAGTCTCTCTCCCTCATTCCATTCCTCTTTTGCTTTTGGGGGTGGGTGGAGGGAGAGCACCTGTTACAGTTCTGGGGGTGGCCCTGACCCCAAACTGTGGCATTTGGAAACTTGGACTCAGCAAAGAATAATGGTAAAGTTATTTAAATTAATCTGGGAAAGTTTCCTGTTTACCACAGCACAGGGCATTTCTCATGCAATTTGTAATCACAACACTATGAAAAATCGCCTAATTCTATTTTTCCTAATTATTGCCTAATTTCTATTTTCTATATAGTGCAGCGCATATCACCTGCACTATCAACAAACTTGGTATGTTTTCTCTCTTTTACCTGTTTCACCTACGAAGTTCATATTGGTTGAACAAGGTATCCAACTTATGAGGTCCCTATGGAATTTGACCTAACAGAAAACCTAAAGAGGGGAATAATTAAAATACTAATACCTGATATCTTTCAGATAGTAGAAGGAGGAACATTCAAAAGCAATTTTAAATATTGCTTGTAAGACACACATATATCACAGTTCCTGTCACCACTGAAAGCCAGCTAGCTTTAGCTACCATCAAGATGACACCACCCAGAGAAACTAGATCATTTACAGCTTTGGAAAGGATGAAGCATAATGCACAGAAAGAATGCATGTAGATGTACCTTATGTTGTTCAAGCTTCCGGTGTATTGTATTTGCTGTTTCCTCATGAGTTTGGTGAACAGTTACTTCTTCCCTCAGAGCAGCCTCTGCTCTATAGAGCCAAGCACCTATGGTACCCAAAGGTGCAGGAAGAGATTTATCAAGGTGTATGTGCCAATCAAGTAGCTAGGAAATAAAAGTAATAAGATTGAAGTTCCTTCCTTGCTTCATTATATAAACAAGTATCTTGAGAAGAATCAAACTTTACACTGTTAGACCAAACCCCTACATAGTAAAGTATATTTGAGACATAACTCTGTGTCACATTAGTTCTGAAATTAGGGCATTCTCACAGTCAGAAAAAAATCTATAATGATTCCTTGATTCACATATTTCCTTTCTAAAATGGTAATTGACTTACACAAGTGACCACATATAAACTGGAACAACTGACTAGCTAAAGATCTGGAATTTCATCAGTTAATAGGCACAGCAAGGGATGTGAGACCTTCTTCCACACAATATCCTTTTATATCTATTTTGAACGTATTTTTTCTGTATAAAGTGCAAATGAGTCTCAAAGGACTCTGGAGTCAAGAATATAGCAGTAAAATACTGTCTTATTGGCCATCCCAGTTATGGGAGTGAAAAATTAATTAAAATTATGTCCAAATTCCAGAATATATCTAAACAGGTTTTCTGTTAAATATATGATAAAGCAAGATCCATATATATAATATACACTGAGTAATATGTAATATAATGTACACTGAGTAATAATGATTTAGTAACTTATTAGGGACAAAAAACATAACATGTTTGAGATTTTTCATTCAATTATAACAAGATTACTATCACAAATACTAAAATTCATTTATTACTACTGCAACTAGGCAAAAAAAATCAATTAAGCCTCATTTATTAAGAAAATATTCAGAATTATGTAATAGGTTTTTATAGTTATATTAAAAAAAGTTAGAATTAGAATATCTCACCCAACTAGCAATTTACATTAAAACATTACATTTCAAAGGCGCATTGAGCATGTTTGAATTTTTATGTATCAACAGTGTGTTGAACTTGGCTAAGCACTGCTTAACACACTTTCAAACAAGGTGAAACCTCCAAGTATAGTCCTCTTAAAGTTCATATTCTATCTTTGAACAATATTAAATATGATAGTGCAGTGAATGTCAAAACAAATGCAAAATAATTCAACAGTGCTAGAAAAGTGGTCCATTTCCAGATTCTTAATGACTAATACGATCAATAGCATACAGCTGTCTAAATGATTTTAAACTCTCATCTTTCATTTAATACAAAATACATTGCATAATAATTTTCACTTACCCTGGAAGAAACTCTGTCCCATGCTTGCTTCACCATAGCTTGATCGAGTGATAATTTACCATCTTTCCTTAACGACTGGATTACAAGTTCAACCGGTTTCCTTTTTACCTCATATTGTATTCTGAAATGCTTAAATGACTGCACAAAGAGAAAATTAAATCAATGTAGTGCAGAGTCAAAGAATTAGATTCTTCAGTATATATGGAGTATTACAGCCTATGACAATTTTTGTATTGATAGAAGTCCAAATCCTTCCTAAAGATGAGTAGCAGTAAAATTGTATATTTACACTGAAAGGCATTTTATTCAAGATTTTAATAACACTATAGAATCCTCCAGGGAAACGTAAGTAGGAGTTTTGTATTTCTCTTCAGTTATCAGATGCTTCAACCCTATATGAAAGCAAATCATAATTGATCAGAGAAACTTGCAAATGGATTAAATGTTACGTGGGACAGACAGTGGCTGCTTTTAGAGAACATCCAAACCATGAAAAAATTTAGGCTAAAATTTATATTTCTGTTTTAGACATTAACCTTTGAGAGAGGGGTTAAAAATGAAGGTCTAAGCCCTGTCCTCTCCACCTGTCACCTCATTCAGCCTTCAGTCATACCTCCCATCTGAGCTATATCATGCAGGATCTGGAAGGACTGTACAGACACATGCTCACTTCTAACTAGGACAATCCTTCCTCACACTGCTAGAAAAAGCTCTGTGTTAGGCAAACCATCTGTGCACTGTTCTGTGTGGTAAACTGGAGCTGACATTATAATTCCTTCACCAATAAATGGCAAGACAGTTTATGTCCTTATTTCTTTGAACTACAATATATTGACTTGCATATATATAGTTTGCATAAAGTAATGCAGTACATGTTGCACATAATGATGACAATAATGCCTCATACAAAATTTTCCTTACTGCTTACCTGATATTTTTCCTGTAAGCTTGTTTCTGCCACCTGTGCTCGGGCTAAGTCTCTTTCAAATTGTTCTGCCCACACTTTCAAGTCTCTCAGCATCAGTCTGTCTTCCCTCTATGATTTAGTACAACCACACACACAAAATAAAAATAAAACAAAAATAGAACACAACAACATTGTAGCCTATTAGTAGACATGTCAGATATAGTCCAGATATTAACATTCTTTCTAGCAAGTCATGGGCATTAGTTGTAGTAAAAGCCAATGAAATATCTGGCCCAAATTCTCTCATCACTTATGCTCATAAAAGCATTTCCTGAGTGTAAAGGGAGAACTCAGCATCTAGACAAGAGTCTTACAGTGGTGAAAGGAGAACTTGGCATCTAGACAAGAGTCTTACAGTGGTGAAATCATGACAATTTGGGACACTGGAGTGTCAGAGATATTACTTGCAGTTCTCATCTCAAGTTAAATGAACACCAAACCCTTTAAATATACCTCAACAGCTAATTTTAGTCTTCCACATATTTGCAGAGTCAATTTTCAGTAAAAGTTGAGCTGAGATGGGAGAGGATTTTATTATTTTTTACTACCATTTTATTTATGTGGTCCGCTAATGCTGGATAAGTTATTTTCTGCATGACTTCAGGGTAAACTTTGATATCAAGCTACAAGTTCAGAAGTTGGCAAAACATTTTGATAAAGAATATTTTAGCAAAGAAAAAAAAATAAGGAAGAAAACCCAATTTGATTCAGTTTCTTTTCTTTCTGTGCCATTTCATGGCTTTGAAGAACAGCTTATTCATTTTACAGTTTTGCTTTAACACTTCAGTTTGTCTTGGCACTGTTGCTTTGCAGGGCTGCAAAGTTCTCTGCAGAATCCAGTGACCCGGCAGTGAATAGAAAAATACTAATAGTAAATCTCAGGTCTATGAGCACGTTTTATGAGGTTAGCAGACAACAGAAAGGTTTTTCTGCAGTGTGTAAGCAGGCTAATCAAATAGGATACAAGTTTCTGTGTCAGATTTCCAACCAGTGAACCATATGTGCTGGCTGTTAATCAGAAGCTACTCTTTGAAACTGTATCGGGTCTGTCTGAGCTGATTTCCCCATTGCAGCCCTCTTAGTGCAGTCCTCCTGACTGCCCCTGAGCAGTGCTCGCGCAGCCCCGAGGCTCTTTCTCACATTCCGCTGCCAGTGGGCTTGGGGGGCAGGAGCTTGGGGGGAACATAACCAGGACAGCTGACCTGAACTGGCCAAAGGGATATTCCATGCCATAGGACACCACCTCAACTATTGTCAGACAGAGTATTGATCTTTGTAAAAGTAGTAAAAAGTTGGTTTAAAAAAAAAAAAAAAGGTGTGGGGGTAATGACACCACTCTTCCACTCCTTTGTCTTCCAGAGCAACCGCTATGTGTTTCGAAGCCCTGCTTCCCAGGAAGGGGCCAGACATCACCTGCTGATGGGAAGTAGAGAATAAACCTTTGGGATTTTTCCTTCACTTCTGCACGCAGCATTGCTTGGCTTTGCTTTTCATTAAACTGCCTTTGTTTTTAACCACAAAGGTTTTGTTTCCATCTTATTTTCCTTCCCCCTTTTCCTCTTCAGTGGAGGGAGAGGAAAAGGGGGAGGATGATAGAACAGCTCGGTGGGCACCTGGTGCTCTGCCATGGTTAACCTACCACAGAAACCAAAGAAGACACATTACTGTAATATTTGTCAGAAATAGATCTGTTACAGCAAACAAATGCAACACCACACCACATGATTTAATCACCTAAAATGCAAGATTAAGTTTCAAGCATTATGTGAGAGAAGAAAAACTGTACCACGTGGTAAAAAAGAATAGCCACTGCTTGTATTTAAGAATCAAAGTTTCTTTTAAGAAAAGATCCTAACCTGGGAAAGCAGCCAATTATATTTCTTTCCTTTGAAAGCTGTTTCAAACATGTAAAACATAACTTCACTTAATGATTTTAAAAGCTTAGAGCTATTGCTTCATTTCACCTAAGGAAGGGCCAGGGTCCTCAGATAGAAAAGAAATACTTCTTTAATATATTTATATTATTCTTTTACTCGTCCTTTACCCAAAACAGTAGTAGCTGGTTGGAGAGAATTTGCACAAAAGACATGCAAATATCACAGGTATTACATCTATTAACTTGCTAGGTAAATTCTTAGCTGGATAGTTGCAGTAAGGTTAATGTGATGTTAGAGCAACTGTGCTAGAATGAATTTCGCTATAGCTCATGCTCCTGTCTTCTGACATTCATCAAAAGCTGGTACCCAAGAGTCAGTGTAGTACACATATGACATCTCCCTGCTCCTGTTATTTGTAATGCTGGGATTTGCTTGACTGAACAGTGTCCCAAGTAGCCAAAACTCCTAGTGCTTTCAACTTCTCAAATCATTTAAATGCAAAGAAGAATAATAAAATTCCTACTCTTCTGGTCTTCTAATTGGCTCTGTGTGTGGAAAATTAAGATCAAGATTCTTTCAGGTAAACAGCAAAGCCTGGACTACTTCCCTATTAGAAGAATATAAGAGATCATTTCTAACTTATTCAGACATTAAAAAAAAAAAAAAAAAAAAAAGTTTGGTATTAAATGCACTGCATTCCTTAGAAGTTATAACTGTAGTGAGACTCTTGAGATCTCTACCAGTGTTTAGTTGTGAGCTCCAAAATACTAAGGCTACACTAAACTATGCATCTTAATGGAAAGTCCTATAGCAATCCTACTAACTGAAACTTTAAGCAAGATATTCTTTAAGTCAGGAAGAGAATAAATGTGTCACAACATTGTATATACTACTTTCAGTATGTACATACTATTAGTTTACACACTATAAATTCAGCTTTGTAAAATACTGGCTTTTATTCCTCTATGGCTCAGGTTCTTATTGCTGAAAAGCATCTCCTTAGGGTAAGTCTTTGCAAGAGTTTCTGCATGGCTGCAACTATTCATACAGAATGTGAGCAAAATAGGTATTTTGCAAGCTTCTTATCAACATAGTTTAAAAGTTAAACAATGCTACAACTGGGTCTGACCAAATGTTTTTTTGTAATACAGTATCACTGGGATCCAGAACTCCTCTATGGTACCTGAAGATAAAAACCACAGGAACCGCACTTCTCTTAAACCACGTACCATTTCTCTGATATTAAATGAAAAGATTAAATTAACAGGTGGCATTGAGCCACCTGTGATTTTTTTAAAATATTAATAGTTAAATATTTTCACTTTAATTGCAGAAGACGTGGGTGTTTCAGTAACTGTCGGAATGCCACTAAAGACATTGCGCAACAATGCATGATAAGAATTTTAATTATTTATTCATACATTTTTATTCAGCTTTCCAGTTCAGTGCATCCCTTATCACCTCCAAACTTGATTCTGTGATCCTTGGTTCATACAAAAGCATTTTAAAGTCTTAGTTTGGGTATCTGACATAAAGAGTTACCTTCTTAGACACCAAGGCACATGTCACCAATGTCCCCCAGCTTTAATGAGCTACCATTCTCAAACCAAGAGTTTTATTAGTGTCTCATGGTTCTTACTCTTAGTAAAAAAAAATCAAAAGGATATTCTTACATACATGTAAACTATTTTGTAAAGCCTGCACATGTGAAGCAGCATACAGATCAGAACACAAACCACCAAAGAAATGTTGTCTAGGGTAATTATAACTACTTGTGCTTTCCCTAGTATTAGGACCACTGATCTCTTATCACATTTATTTCAGTTTATCTAAGCCACTATGGCTTATTCTGCATGCTACTTTCCAACAGCATTTTAAAGTATTCATTTATGTTGACACCATTCTATGAATATTTACTGATTTGCAGAGATGAACAGAACTGGAGCACTCAACTGCCAAAGAACATCAAAGAAGATAATTAGAGAAAGGTGTTTATGAGTTCAAATATGATAAGGGGGTACAATTTAAATCTACAAAGAAATTTTTCAGCCCAGACTCAAAGTCAACACATTATTTTTTTAACTGATATACCAGAGCTAATTTGAAAATTACAGAATACAGAATAATCTGGTGTTTGAAGACCTAAAATACACTTCTGTGTTTCATGAGAAACTTAATTATGGACTGGAAAAGGAATACTTTGTTGAGTTTTCCAGTATGTAATTATAAATCAGGTGAACTGTTCAAATTCTAAGGAACAGTCAGGATAGACATTTCAAATATAAAATTTTAAATCTAAGAAAATTAAGTCACTAGTTTTTCAGGGATGTTGAACTTCTGTGTTGCCTTTGTGCTGAGAAAAACAAGTCCCTTTGAAAATGTTTATACATGAATTTCATTAATTACGCTATTCTTTTTGAAAACAGGCTTACATATGTGTTACTGGTTGTATACATGTATATATGTGTTACTGAAACATTCACTGACAACAGTGACACAGATACATAGTGAATGCTGAGCCAAGCATCATCTTCATGGGCAAACTATTAATACCTATCTGTAAAAGTAAACAGTAAATGACTGAAAGAGCTCAGGAAGATATTTTTTGTAGCTGTTGCTGAGGAAATTCCTCTTACATTGCAGAACTTTGCTGACATAAGATGTTGGAGGTGATGGGATTATCTTCTGAATTACTTGCTCATCAGAGTGCAAAAGGAGAAAGATTTTATATAACAAATACTTTGAAGGAGTGTGCTTCCTCTTATGGTTAAATTTATAACAAGATAAAGAAACTGACAGAGCTGTTACCACTTCAAATCTTCACTAGCTTAAGCAGCAATGCACTGGGGCTGTGTAAGGCTAAGAATGTGTAATGAGGTCCCAGGACAGCTGCCCAAAATTAGTTGAATGTATTGAGAAGAACGGGAATAATTCTGTCAGCATTAATCTTCAGTTCAACACATATCACGAGTTAGATATACAAAATATGGGATGAACCCTTGGTCATATTTATTAGAAAATAACCTATTGCTTATACATTGAAAAAACAACAAACTAACAACCCACAGAAAAGTGAGTGTGGAGCTAAGGTAATTAATTCCATCAAGTAAAACTATAAACACTATCTGACTGCAGTAACACCTATCATTTTTGTTCATAATATATTCACTTTTGCAGTCTTCTAGTTTCACC